GACACAGCTACAAAATGCCGAGACGAAATGGAAAGAAGAGAGCCCGGTATGGAAATCCAAGATTGCCAAATGGGAAGTATGGAAGACATCCAAGTTGTCAGCAAAGAAGAAGCTTGAAAGGGCTACCAAGAAGAAACCAAGCGGAAACGCCGACGAAGAGCCAACTTCCAAGGCAGAGCAAGCTAAAGAATCAGCATCTACTGACTTCGGCTGGCTTGATCTCTTTGACCCGACGAAGCCTGTGGATGGATTCCATTTGGCTGACTTCAAGAAAGTCCCCGCTTCCGAGTTCTCTGTCTATGCCAAGCAGCTGCAGTGGCGCTCGGTGCCTCAATGGTTGATCGATGCCCTCGAGCGAGGAATCGGTGTTCACCATGCTGGTATGAACCGCAAATACCGTCAGGTTTGTGAGATTCTCTTTAGGAAGGGCTTCCTGCGTGTCGTGATTGCTACCGGCACTTTGGCCTTGGGTATCAACATGCCTTGTAAGACAGTCGTTTTTTCGGGCGATTCCATTTTCTTGACAGCCCTGAATTTCCGACAGGCCGCTGGACGAGCAGGACGTCGTGGATTTGACGTCCTCGGAAATGTTGTTTTCCAGCAGGTTCCACCATCCAAGGTGCAACGTCTGATGAGCTCAAGACTCCCAAGTCTCAGTGGACATTTCCCCATTACAACAAGTTTGGTTCTACGACTGTTCATCCTGCTGCATGGCTCAAAGCAAGCTCCATCCGCCGTGAACTCAATCAATTCGATACTCTCAAGTTCTCGCATCCACCTTGGTGGTCCTGAGATGAAACAAACAGTGCTTCACCATCTCCGATTCTCCATCGAGTATCTCCGACGAAACAATCTTCTTAGCGGTACAGGTATGGCTTTGAACTTTGCGGGCTGTATCTCTCATCTGTACCACACCGAGAATTCTAGTTTCGCTTTCCATGCCCTACTGAATTCGGGATACCTCCAAGATCTCTGCCAGGACATAGAGACGAAGCCAAAAAAGACTGTCCATACTCTGATGCTGGTTATGGCCCACCTTTTCGGGCGTATTCCCCTGCGAGCTTCCACCTTGGAATGGTTCCAGAACGCAGAAAAGAAGCCCTCCTCGATCGTGGCTCTTCCACCTCTCCCGAGGAAAGCAGCCTCCGCCTTACGGGCTCACAACAAACAAGTCCTGGACGTCTACACGGGCTACTTCTCTACTTTCGTTAAGCAGCATATCAAGGAACCCGACTGTTTGCTACCATTCAGTGGGACCAAGTGCGGTGGAGAAAGTTCCTCCAAGGAACTCGGTTTCTCGCAGTTCGACCACATCTCCCCATCAATTGTCTCCCCATTCTTCGCCCTTTCAGGAAACGGAGACGAATGCAATACTGTCTTTGAGCTCAGTCAGATGGCCCGCAGTGGCGTTTGGATTGAGGATTCTGTCATTCCATATGTGGCTGTTGACCCTAACGAGAACGCGCCCCCTCTCAACGCATACCTGTATGACTTCTTCAAGCATGGAAATGTTTCTCAGCTGGAGACTGCGAACCGCATCCGTCGCGGCGACATCTGGTTTGTGCTGAATGACTTCTCATTGACTTTGGCGACCATCAAGACTAGCATTGAAGGGTTCCTCAAGCCTGGAGGCAACATCGGTGCCGACATGCTCGATGTTGCTGGTGGAGGTGATGATTATGAGAACCTCGTGGACGATAAGGCCGTTGATCAGATTGAGGCCGAAAATGCTGGAAAGGACGTGAAACCAGACAACAAGCAGGCGATGCCTGCTGCTCCCATCCCTAGCTCTCGCCCCAAAGTGAAGAAGGTTGTGATGGATAGCTGGGAGGATGAGATGGATGACGAAGATGATGAAAGCGAGGAGGAAGCGATCGCTGCCTCCAAAGATGCGACCAACGGGCTCAGCTCTAAAACTACGCAAGAGAAGCCAGTGGACAACTCTCAACGATCTATGCTCTTGGTTGCCAAGGCCTTCAAAGAACTGCACAGCGAGTTTGATACCAAGTTCAAGGCTATGTGGGCTTAAGAATTGGTTGTGAGGGACGAGATACTAAAACGAGATAGTAAATTGAGAAATTTCATAAGTGCGAGATTTCTGATGTGATATCCAACAGTATTACCTAGGTAAAATTAGATGGTAATAACCCGTCTCTCAAGATATCAGCTCCAGTGGAGTATTATGTGCTCGTATCACTGATCGATCGTATATAAAATCCCGTCAGTTCCCTAGTCTGGTTGCTACTAGAGCCAAACCAAGGGGTAGAACATGCAAGCAAGTGTATGGACCTAGTGTGGAGTGTGGAGAAGATTCAACCGGAAGGCTACACTTGTAAACCAATCCAGTGTTGACTGGTAGCAACTTATAGTTAACTAGTATTACAGAATTAGAACTCTTCTGAATTGAACTTCCATTGGCTCGGTTTTACCCGTGGGGTAATGCCCATGCGTGGGGTTTACTAGTGACAGGCTCGTGCGGAAGAGAGAAAAACATGCTGGTGTATCCCTTACAGCGACATCGTAGATCAAATATACGATGATCTACGTTCTACACTTGGCTCAAGATAGTCTCTAACACACTGCTACGCCATCTTATGACTCTTTTTTGGTTTGGAGGAGACTATTGGTATCGAAGTAGTAATTTGTCTCGGTCTAGACATGTTTGCTTATTGACTATGTGAATGCTTGGAATCCCTGGATTGTGCTCAAATAGTCTTCAAGTTTTGTGTATAACTTTCCTGAATACCTCACAGGTAGGCAGTAGTCAGCCATGATATTCTACCATGTGGTTGACCGGTGAATAACTAAGATTCGGCCCAGCCTTATAGCAGCGATATACGTCACTATGGAGGACTCATGCAAGATGACCTCGATGGGACTGATAGCGACTTGAATTTCCACCTTATACCAGGTTCTTTTGAAGAAAGCAAGTAGTCATTGTATGTCTGTTGTGCCAGCAAATATGTTGCTACTACTCTTGACCTCAGTAAGTCAATCCTTGGAAATATACAGGCTACTTTCCGGAAGAGGCTAACAAGCCGGGGGTTTTAGACAAATGCATCAGCAACGACCACGGCGAGCTTCGTTGCTAGATTAGCAATGTAGGGATCAATCAGTATAAGGGGGGATTGAAACGCGTATTAATGACTGGAAATTGCTTTTGTATTTAAGAAGATTATGAAGCCATGATATTGTTGGAGTGTCGGTCATAATCCCGCCTATTATTCTCCGCTTCGGAGCTCTGATGACTTGCCGTAGCCATAGCATTGGGGTTAATTGAGTTCGCTGACGCTCCACAATCACTACCAAGCGCTCGAAACTCGCCTTTGCTTCCTCGCATCGTGTGTAAATGGAGGTTGGATCCGGTAGAAGGTTGAGAATGGTACTTCGAGACGTTACTTCTGACTTTGCTGCGGACGCCTTGCACGAGTGGGTTAAGAAAAGGGAGGCAACCACAAATGATAGCCACGTCTAGTTCGAGGCAAGTCCAGATAGACTCTTTGGCGCTAGAGGCTGGAGGGTGTTAGTTGGAGTCATTGTATAAGCTGGGGTTAGGAACGGACCGGCAAGATCGGTGAGCTGGAATTGGCGGAATTCAATCAGGCGCATCAGACTGAAGATGCAGACACTATACAATTTGTCATTAGAAAGGAAGCGATATATCATGTGGGGAAGGGTTCACGCACAGTCCACCCAGAGAGAATACCATGGTCAATGCGATTTTCTGCCGATTGTTGATCTGTAACTTCCAGAACACAGGAATTGGCAGACAGAGAATGATAACATCTTCAATTAAGGCGATGGAGCCCATAACCTGGAAGAATTCAACCTGTCCTGACATGCAGTGTCCATCCAAGTCTTTGTTGTAGTAGTATTGCACCGGTGTACATTGGAAGATATTGGTCAACAGAGCAGCGAGAGCCCATGTGGCGATAAATCCGGCTAGGCAGTTGGAAATAACGACGTATGTCCGAATGGAGCTGAATAGTCGTTTGATGAAGACGACAATCGAGATCTTGACAAAGGCCATTGACGGGGCCCAGAACTTCTGTATCATCCATGATCCCTGCGAAATGATATTAGATGTTATGTTATCCAGGTCAGTATAAGCTAGAACATAAAGAACATACGAATTGAATACGCATCCGTTCATCTTTGGGGAGTGATTTGGTCGGTAGACCGACACCATTGAAGGCGGCTATTAAATTAGTTAGTATAGTTAGTCTCCATGGATGTTAGGCTGCAGGCACAAGGAATGAGGAATACTTACTATCTACTACAAAGGCCGTCACAGCGAAGGAGATTATCAGACCAGCTCCCATTAAATAATCTTCCAGTGGAAGCCCCGCCGCTTTCATTCGTCTGCAGTACAGTCGTAAAAGAAAGGTCACTGTCGCCAAAGCAGCCCCAATAATTGGCACAATAGTAAGGACATTTTTCCAATATGTATTCACTTTGTATGTCATCTTGATGTGGATAGAAAGGGAAAAAAGAAAAGAAAAGAAAAGAAAACCTCATTCTCCCGAGAGACCCTGAAAGTCGAACCTATTGAAGAGGTTAAAGGGGGATCGACATTTCTGTGTACACATTAAACGGGTTGAGGTCACCACTTGAACCCTACTTTCACTCATTGGACCAACCAATTTCTTAAGAGAGAGAGAGAGAGTATTATAACTCGGTAGAATATTCCTTCGATCGTAAAAGGATTCAAAGTTTGTCAGATAATTGGATTTAATATGATACATAGCCAATAATAGAAGATCATTTTGATGATCCTTTACCTAAATCAGATCGAATTTATATTATATCTCGTACAACTAAGACATTCACTGGTTCATGCGTACCTTTTCTAGCGCTTCTTAGGGCTTCTTAGTGAGTCTTAGTGTATCTTAGTGTGTCTTGGTATATCTTAGTATGTCTCAGTTCTTTTTCTCTCTCTGATATATTTCTCTCTCTGATATAAACCTTTTTTCCTTTTCCATTCTGCAATCGCCAAGAAAATGGAGTTGGCCAAGTTATCCGGCCTCCTATTGGCCTTAGTAAGCTCGACTGTTGCGGACTGTACTTTGAATGACTTCAATGTAACAGTTGGAGGGCGAGCCCAGCATTTAACCCCTTTCTCCTTGCCCTGTTTCTCCAGCTACAATGGGGAACCGGTGGCTCCCGACAATGCTGCCTGCGCTGCTATCCAAGAAAACCACTCGGATCCGTGGCTGCGAACCAATTCTCCCAATGGTTACATGAACAACCAGGATGAGATGTGGGCATCCGATCCTAGTGATCAGTGCCTCCTTGATAGTAGCAACCCGACGGATCCCCTAGCGTTCTTGAACGCCACCTGTCGCCAGGGCAATCTACCCTCGCACTATCTTGAAGTGCAGAGCGAAACGGATGTGATTGAAGCTTTCAAGTTCTCCAGCTGCTCTGGCAAGAAACTCGTCATCAAAAATAGTGGCCATGATTACCTCACCCGCAGCAGTGGTCGTGACACGCTATCTCTTTGGACGCGAAACCTGCGATCTCTGCACTACAGTGCGGACTTTGCTCCCCGCGGCGCCAAAAACACCGCTCACAGATATAAAGCTATCACTGTCGGCGCTGGAGTCAACTTCGACGAGGCGTACGAATTTGCACAAAAAAACAACGTAACCATACTTGGCGGCTACTCATCCACCGTCGGCGTCTCAGGCGGTTGGGTACAAAACGGCGGTCATTCCATCTTGAGTCCCGTGTACGGTCTCGGCGTGGACCGTGTCCTCGAGTTCAAGATTGTTACCCCAGACGGTGTCTACCGCACCGCCAATGAATTCCAGAACGCCGACCTTTTCTGGGCCCTCCGCGGTGGCGGCGGTGGAACCTTTGGCGTAGTCCTCGAAAGCACTCACCGTGTCGAGCCTGCTATCCGTTTTGTCGCTGCCAACATCAAGTTCCCCACCACCTCCACGAACATGCTTCCATTCATGGAGATTGTTGTCAACAACACCCTGAAATGGGGACAGGAAGGATGGGGCGGCCACATCACCGGTAACACTCTCGTCAACATCTCTCCGTTCCTCTCCACCGAGCAAGCCGAGGTCTCCCTGGCAAGCGTAATCGCCTACGCCAAAGCAAACGGCGGCTCCGCCACCATCGAAGAGTTCACGTCTTGGTACCCCTTCTACGAGAAATACGTCAAGACCAGCTCCGTCGCCGTCGGCGTCACTCGCTTCCCCGGAAGCCGACTGATCCCCCGCTCTATCTTCGAGACTGAAGAGGGTCGCACGAACCTCATGGATTACTTTGCAACCATCAAATCACTGGGTCAGACACCTTACATTCCCGTCGTCGGACCAGTGCTGTACAACTATACCGAGGGATCCACCAGTGCCACTCCCGCCTGGCGTGAGGCTATCTGGGAATTGGGATCCGGTGCCTCCTGGGAGTGGAACGCTACCCTTCCCACCCGGAAACAGAAGATCGCGTCCATTCAGAACATGACGGCCGTGATTGAGGGTATTACCCCTGGCAGTGGTGCATACAGCAACGAGGCCAACCCGTTCACGACTGATTGGGTCGAGGCGTGGTGGGGTGATAACTATGAGAAATTGGTGAACATTAAGAACAAATATGATCCCCAAGGTTTGTTGAGCTGCTGGAAGTGTGTTGGCTGGAAGGATTCGCAGGTTGCCGATTCATCCTTCGCTGCGCTTCTTTGATTCCAAGAAACGCGAAATATACACCTCTTGAGTGTACACATGTACTATATATCATAGACTTTACATATACACCATATACATACTATACGCGAAGGATATTTAGAGCAAAGAGATCAATTCAGAAAGTTGGGCTGGAAATTTGACCGAAAATACACAAACATGTCTTCATTTGAACATCTTGTGCCGCGTTAACCATCCCAGGATGTCGGCAAAGGTGATTAACCCGGAATTATAAATGTCTGTTCTCGAGTGCTGGTGCGGGGATAACTAGGTGATTGTGTACGTTGTATAGGATTCACAGCTTTGGACCGGCCAGCCTAACGATGGACGCCCATTCCAGGCTACTTTATAAACAGGCGGTGACGATAATACTGAGCCAAGCGCAGCGTACATAAATAGGAAGTGGGTTTCAATGCAATCCCAGTAGAATATAGATTTAACCTCACCAAAGCAGAGTAATCTCTAGCGGTTATTACTGTATCAAACTATATCACATGATATACACAAGCCTTCTAGCCCCAGTAGAATGCTCCAAATCATCCCTCCTACCACCACCGATAAGCACATCCCGCTCTCCACCTTGATCAACAGGACCAGCCTGTCCAATGGTATATGTCGTTTCCGCAGCTGCCCGATTCAACCTCTGTAAAAGAATGCGCAGTGCCACCGCAAAAACTGCAACGACAACCATGAAAAACGAGCAAGTGGCCATGCCCCGAATATACCACGGCCCGTCAGTCTCGGGATACAGTCTCGTCCCGAGCAAGGGTCCGCACTGTCCGATGATATTGAGAATGGCTATGCTCGCGCCCTTGCCCTCCTTTTCGACACGGTTATCCATTGACCATGTGATAATGAGGGTGATTGCGGAGAAGAACCCGGCCGTGGCGGGGTAGACACAGATGTAGCGGATGAATATGTGAAACCGTGGTGGCAGGTGTGAGTGGAAATAACCCGTTGCTGCGATCGCTAAGTAAGCGAGTGATGAGATGAGGGCGTGGGCTATTAGATATGGGCTTCGGGAGCGACTGCGATCTGACGCGTATGCGGTGAGAAGGACTACAACAAAGGCGATGAGATAGGGAGGTGCTGAGAGGGCCTGGGCCTGTAAGGAGGAATATCCCATGCTATATCGGATGTAAGTTGGCTATATAAATATAAGATCATGAATAAATAGTGGTGTGGGGCATACTCTTTAATGATAGTAGGTAAAAAGACAGGCATTGAGCTGAAAGCAACGTTACAACTGAAGAACATAAACTGTAGTAAATGTGTTAGGACCTTTGCACAATCTCAAATAGAGATAACACTCACGGCAGCCATATAAGCCTTGGGGTCAGCTGCAGTCTTCAGGATTTCTCGCCAGTTAAATCGACTTCCATACGATTGCTGATAATCGGCTGTGCTCTCCTCGAGGCGCTGCTGAGCTACCACTCTTTGTCGACGACTCAGGAATCGAGCCCGACCAGGGGAGTCTGGAATCAGGAACCAAGCAAATACTGCAACAATTACACTCGGGAACCCTTCGACAAGGAACAGAGTTCGCCACGGTGAGATCGGACCGCCACTGCTGAATCTAACAATCAAGTAGGCGAGACTGCTAGCAAAAGATGTCGCGAGTGGTGCCGCTGAGATAAACAATCCATTACGGAAAGCCAGCTCGTGTCTGCGATAGAACAAAGACAGGTAAAACGGGACACCCGGGCCAAAAGCCGCCTCGGTGATACCAAGCAACGCCCGGAGAACGACCAGGCCCCCAAAAGAAGTAGCTAGACACTGGAATGATGCGACAAGACCCCATCCACATACACATAAAGAGATATAAATATGCGGGGGAACAACACGGTACATCAGGGTCATCCATTCGAAGAGAATATAAGTAATATAGAAAGCAGTGAGTAGCCATTCATACTGCGAAGATGAAAGTTGTAGATCGTCTTGGAGTCCCGCTATCTTTGCATTTCCAATATCTGGATAAACTATCAGTACATGCTGGCAATCACAGGGGAAAGATTCCGCTGTGCGAAATAACTAAACATACTCGAGCGGTCCAAGAAGGAGAGCAAGTAGAGAAGGGCCAAAAACGGGACCAGCCTCCGGTCAAATCTCCTCACTACCCCGCTCTCCTCCTCCGGTGTGTATCTTGGGCCTAAGCCGCTGCGCGGCAGCTTACCCTCGAGCTCCTCGCTGGCGTTGTAGTTCCCATCGTTCTCGAAATCCGATAAAGGGTCGCCGACGTCTTGATGGTCATCAAAGTTGGTCTGTAGTCGCAATGGGGTTGTGGGTGGTTTTGCGGGGCCTGGCACTGGATTATCTTCGTCAGAGGCATACGAAACCGGTGTAAACTGTGGGTTTGAGGATGTGCTGGAGCTGGTGGAAAATGCATTATTCCCCGCGCCGGAGGGATGAAGGTCTGCCATTTCTCAAGAGAGAGACGCGTTTGGGGGTCGTTCTAGGAGTCGGGTCTATGAGGTAGTCTCTCCATTAGGGAGATATATCCTCTTCTCTGAGATCGAAAAGAAAGAAAATAATAAAATCCCCTCGATTCGCGAGACCAGATGACCGATGTTGATCAGCTGGGCATGGCCAGGGCCTCTGGGATGGATTATGTCATCTGCGCACGTGGAGTTGTAACTGGAGCTAAGATGTAAGTGGCTTAGCCCCGAGCTTAGTTCTATTGGCGATCCCTGAACTGGGGTTTCATGATCTACAAGTAGGAGAATGCTTGCTTGTGGAATTGAGTCGATTTTTCGATTTGAGACTAAGTTTTGTAGTACATCCAGGGTTGTACTTCGCCTCGGAAGTAGCGAAGAAAAGGCTGCCCTCATAGTTCAGGACGTATCTTTCAACCAGGAGCTCAGATCCGCGGTGAGCTTAAGGACGGTAGGAGTCCAAGGCACGACCATCCCAACCAATCCTTCTGTTGACATGGCTATGGTCCCATCCACCCTTGTGACTATGGTCCCATATGATACTGTCGGGGACATATCGGTCCCGACGGTTGTGTTCTCCGCGCTGGTCTCTGTAGTATCTGTGAGGTCTGTGGGGGCTGAGGCTTGGGCTGCCCATCGAGTCGTTGTCTGTGTGATCAAACTTGCGCTTGCGGCCACCAGCTAGTTGGCTTGCATGTGCCTGGCTAACCTGGATGATGTCTTCGATTTCGGGAATCAGATTGTGGTCTTTGTCGGTTGACAACAGGTATCGCAGGAGGTTCTCTGCCGTGTCACGGAGAAATCGGACACTGTTAGTTCGCTCCCGGTAGTTATCAGAAACCTGAAGGATGTAGTAATCGGCCTTCGCCTTCTGGTATACCTGGACGAGCTTGTCGATATGGTGTGACTCGGATGCGCCAGAGTCCTGTGACGACTTGCCAGTCTCGACCGCCTCGGTGGCACCTCCCACGCCGTCGGTTGCAGTAATTGGGATTTCGGAAATAGGGCCTGGTAGGTTGTGTTAAAATAGAGAGAAGTAAATTTCATCAAGGCGCAGTGACAGACCGTTGTCCAGGATGCGCTGGGCAGCAAAGTGGGCAGCAATGACAGAGTTGCTCTCCTCCTCCGACTGACAGTCCTTGGTTCCCAGATACTCAGCCAGATAGAATTCAAGCAGGCCATAGTGTTGCATGGTGTGTCCCTCGTCATAGAGACGAAGAAGAACACGGTCATAGATTGTGACCTGGCCATCATCGTAGGACTGCGAGCGGTGGCGGATGGACTTGACTTGGCGCCTCAGTCCATGGAAGAGGGCTCGAGCATGCTCGCGGTTGCCAACAAGCTCTTTCAAGAGCTCGCTTGGATTCATGACCACACTCCACTTGAGGTACAAGCTGTCCTCCTTACCACGCACCCCGCGAGACACGACACGCTTCGTCTCTATGGAAACCATTCCGTTAGCACAATGAGATGACGATATTAAAGTTGGAAATATGGGTAGGGCCAAGGCTGGAAGCAAACTTACCGCGCTGTTTTGAGTGAGAAGATGGTGGCATCGCGAAGCTCCACGCGGGTTGGGGACAATAACCCCACAAAGTTGATAAAGATAGTTGGAGAGTGGGGGAGAGAAAGGAGGATGAAGAAGTTCTGAGATCTGATGAAATACAACAATGGCAAGGAAACATGCAAACGGTCAGACTGTGCGCGACTCGGTGAATAGGCATTGTTTATCACTACACGCGGGCAAATACGTCTTCAATGCATGACATAGGGTTGGAGTTACCAAATATGGGAGTTCATCTGGGAAATATATAGCTTGAGCATTAAATTTGAATGTGGAGAATGCCTATAGTGCAGGTGTAATATGATAACATGTATTAGATCATCAGGGGGCATTTATCAAGTCTCATGTCCTATCGCATGGGAATGAATGCAGGGTATCAGCGATGAAGTATCCATCTCGAACTCAGTTTCTCTCCTTCCAGAGCTTTTCAACTTGGTCGATCAGGGCTGAGGGTTGGCTGCCTTGTCCATCCTGGGCACAGTTTTTCCACTCGCCGCTATCGCGGATGCACCAGACAACATCATCGAGACGCACTGTGCAACTAATCTTAACACCAAGTTGTTCGCCACGTAGAGCGCTTTCGCGTAGTAACGCAATGCCACTGAGTGGTGGTCCGCCGTCATTGCCATCGTTCGGGTCATCATTCTGTTGGCTCGCACACTTGTTTAAGGCGTCGAAGTCAATTCCATGTTCCAATGCACAGTGATGGACAAACTCGCGGTCAGGGATCCGGGAAAAGTCATTGATCAGACAGTTTGCGAATCCTAGCGACCGGATAATAGGGGTCCGGGGGTACTGAGATGGAAGAGACGCTTCGTCCGCAGTAGGAGGGAAAGGAAGGTTGGCCGCACAGAGGATGATCATATCACCGATGCATTCACCTGGGCCATGCTTGCATTCTATCTCTTCGGAATCTTTAGACACGCTATGATGATAGTATTAGTCAAATGTTTAGGACGGAGTCTGGTACAGAACAACATGGGTTCTTCTCCACATGTGGTTCGATGCTTACCTAGCAATAAATGATAGTTTGAAGTCCACCTTGTCACTGATTCTTTCCATGGCTGGTAGAACCAGTTTTTGCAAGCAGTCCTGGGCATCTGGACATTTGCTCATGATGTGAGCCTCCAACGGTATCTTAGTTTGCTCAAGTGTCTGATGCGCATCAGAAGCAAAGCGCCCCAGCTGTGAGTAGTTGTCATGTTCTTCTTGAACCTCAGCCCTATAATTCTCCGTTTGTGGGGCTATGCCGCTACATCGTGGGGATGACGGCCGTAGAAGCAAAATGTAGGCGATGAAGAGCAACGCGATGACACCTATCCGACACAAATAGGTGGCTGTGCTAGGACGTGGACGACGATCAGGGCTATTTCCCAGTTGAAGAGTGTCACTATATCCCTCCTTGGAGTGGATCGGTAGTTTTTCCATGATGGGATAAAATCGGAAGTGACGTTGTTTTGATAAGATCATGTGGAGAGTCTGGAGCTCCAGTCCTCTGGGGCCTAGGTGCTCAGGTGGGCCAAGTCGATTATGTAAGCTCTTCCCTTTCAGGTAGGTAGTTAACTACATAGTTACACGTAGATAATTAACACTAACCAACTAGTTAACTAGTTATAGGTATAGTTATTGGTTAATGTATTATAAAGATACAGCCCTACAATCATTACTCTTGTTTTAGTCAAAAGACCGGTAAGACTTTATGCTCTCCTAAATGCTTAAATGTGTCCACAATCACCAAGCCCATACGATGTATCCGTGCTAGGCTGGGCTCCGACTTCGGAGATGATTGGGACGGGGCATCAAGTACATACTCCGGAGCTTAGGTTTAAATACGTAGCCCAATGTCTAGAATCACTGGGCATTATCAGGTACGGTCTATGGGCAGACCGTGCATAAGAGCTCGGGATTGCGTGCTTTTGAGGCTCGTATATGAAAACCTTCATTAATCAATTCTATGATAGAACTATGCCAAATACGTGAAGCATCAAGCTATTTCCCGGTGGGCAACCCCAAGGTAAGGTAGTTTGAACCGAGTCCAGTAGGATCTGACAGCCTGATGTGGTGCCAGCGAGCGATCGAGACCCTGCAAATGAGACCATGTAAATGGGATCGTCCCCGTTGGTTCAAAAGGTAACGTTGGTTCAAAAGGTAAATGCGCCTGCGTCTGAATACGGGTATGTCCGGCCCGATCACCACGCGAGTGCCACGAGTGGTATATCGACCTTTGGCGGGCTTCTTATCGAACGAATAGAACAGAATACTTTGCCAATACTTTGCCAATACTTTGGCGTGTTTTTCCAAGCCAGAATCCTTCAATCCCACCAATGTTTCCTCGTAAGGGGGTACAATATAAATAGTATCATTACTCCATAACTAGTCTCCACTGGATCGGAACTGGCATTTAAACGTATAGGCTGTGTTTCGTCTAATCGTAAGACTGCCAAGAATGGAGAAATTGGCTTGGCTCTCCGGGATAAATCTCTACTAAAAGGTAGGGGAAAGGGTTTGTCCGGACATAATGACTTAAAGTAAGGTTACATAGACTTGGAGAGTTGAATTTAGAAAGATGCCAAAGAGGGGAGAGGGGAGACCAAAAGTAGAGTTTTCTTCCAATCCATACTCTTTTCTTAACTTGTCCCGAACAGCGTCGCATCGCCTCGTGCCTTCCGATGGTCGCATCTCACTTCTTATATATAAATATATCATATATATATATATATATATATCTTTCAAGCTTAGATCTGTCGAATTTTTGAACTTCTCTATCTGATCATATATCATCTCTAATAGGAATCTTTTCTTTTCCCCACTGAACTTCCGATTGTTCTCCCACTTGTTCTTCCGATCACTACAGTACTTGGATCAAAATATTAAAAGGTACTGAATAAATTCCCTACCTTCATATGTCTGTCTAAAAGGGAGCTTTATACTTCCATTCTTCACCAACTCCCTCAGTGCCCATCTAGGGATATTCTCCCTCAAAAGATCCCCCCAGTTCCCTATATATATAGTCTAATCATCTTCCTCCTATCATCTTTGAAAAAAAGAAAAGAAAAAAAAGAAAAAGAATTATCTTTTGTGATCAACACAATCAGTGCATACCTAAATTCCAGGGTATGTACAAGAATAAAACATAGATGGGGGAATTCCCCCTTCTGGCATGATCGTCGTGTTTTCTCTTTTTTCCCCCGCAGCCCGGTCGACCTGCAGACCGCGTCACCGAAATGTCCCTTTCCTTTTATTGCAACCTCGCTAACACAACAAGTTTAGCTCTTGAGCCAACTCTTGAGCTATTGGATTAGCTTCCCCCGGTAGCTTGTATCCACAATTCAAAGATTTTAAGGCCCTGTCTCTATTCCTGAACATTCCAGAACCCTACACGTCACTATTGACATAGCTGTGTCAGCTCATTTGGTTTGGTATTTTCAATCATTTGGAATAGGGAATTTCAAGGGGATATAATATATCTTCCATTTTTCCCCATCATGACCTCGGTCAATTCGAAATCCTCAAAGAAGGATGAGGAGTCCGAAATCATGCACGATTTGATTGAAGATGAGGAACATGAGGATGTCAGTTCAGAACTAAATGACATTCAACAAGAATATCTCGCGCACCAGCAGCAATTGGAAGAGTTCTTGTCACCAATCTCCCTGGATGAGGCTGTGCTGTACAAACTGGCCCGCCGCTTTTCCACCACATACCGCAACCTTGCCCTGACATCAGACCAGCAATTTTTGCCAACACCCGTGACTCAACTTCCTACTGGCCGGGAAACTGGTCGCTATCTAGCGATCGATGTAGGAGGTAGCAACCTTCGGGTGGCTTTTATCGAGTTACTCGGAGAAGCCGTGGATTCCGATGTTCGACCTACAGATGCTACGGAGAGGTCACAGGACACTATCCGGAAAGCTCAGCGCCAGCGGGTGAAGCGGACGCTTGAAAGAGCTTGGCCTATTCAAGAGCATTTGAAGATGGACAAGGCTGAGGATCTATTTTCTTGGATCGGTGATTGCATTGCGGAAGTGGTAGCGGAGAGTCTATCATCAGATGCCACGAAGAAGGATATCCCTGCCGAATTAGATATGGGAATCACGTTCAGTTTCCCCATCATGTGAGCCATTTCCCTTGTTCTCGTGCTGCTGGTCGTCCTGGATTCTGGGACTCCGGCTTCGTGGATTTTATGCTAACTAAGCCTAGGCAAGAATCATTGGCAGAGGCCACTTTAATGCCCATGGGGAAAGGCTTCGCCATCTCATCAAATCTCAATCTTGGAAACATCCTTCTAAATGGATATGAAAAACACACAAGGCGACCCGATGATGAAGACGAACCTACAACCAAACGTCGAAAGCTTTTCGCATTACCAAAACTGAAAATCCAGGCTATCACCAACGACACGGTGGCCACGCTAGCTTCCCTTGCATACAAAGTCAAGTCCCTACCAAACAGTAGAGTCGCCATGGGTATCATCGTGGGCACTGGCTGTAACGCAACTATCCCAATGAAGCTCGGTGATTTGCACGAATCTAAAGCCAAGAGTGTGAACGCAATGGAACCCAGCGCTGTGGAGACTATTGTCAACACTGAGTGGACTATTTCGGGTGCTGCGCCACCACTCAAGGAGCTCAACGTAACCACAAAATGGGACATCGAGCTGGACCAGGCATGTGCACGTCCAGGCTTCCAGCCCTTCGAATACATGACCGGAGGCCGCTACATTGGTGAACTGATTCGCTTGATCTTATTCGATTATCTCACAACAGTCGCCGAATTATCAAAACGCTCCCTACCTGCAAACCTCATCCAAGAATACGCCCTGACAACCACATACATCTCCGACCATATCGCCAAATCCCGTTCTGACAACGACCTCGCCCAAGCCTTGAACAAATCCCTCCCCCCGCCAGAGAGTAGTGACTGGCGCTGGGATTCCCGAGCCGCGGGCGCATTCCGAAAGATCGCTCGCACAGTACAAAGACGGTCAGCTGGGCTGATCGCCGCTGCGGTGGTCGGGCTCCTAGCCTGTGCTCGCGAGATCGAGCTAAAGGAAGACAGCAACAGCAGCTCACCCGAGAACCCCGCTTCACCCCAGAGCAACGGCGACGCCATCACTGAGATCATGGGTGCACCGGACGCCGCGGCTGCAAGCCTTAACTCTGCCACTGGCCCCGCAAACCACGCAACCCAGGAACATGTCGTCCCTGTCCTCGATCCTACGCCAATAGATTGGCAGTCTGGCCCTGAAGAGCTCGTCGTCGCTTACACTGGTGGTATTATCCAACATTACCCGCAATTCAAGGAGATGTGCCAGCAATACATTGACCGTCTTATCATGCGCACTGGTCCACAGCGAGGTGGGAAGTCGGTTTTCTTACGGGAAGCCTCCGACGGTGGTGTCATTGGTGCTGGTGTTTTGGCTGGCATGGTTGTGCGGAAATGAGCTTTTCTTTGAAACGTCAGCAAGTCATGCATTGGGCTCTCTTTGGTTTTTCTTCTTTGGGCGGAATTCAGCAATGCGAAAATGGTTCGAAATTAGGTGTCAATGGGATAATATTTGTTTATTTTTAAATTCGAGTCGGGGCTCACGGCATAGAAATGAGATTTGATTTCTGCCACTGAGGTCCTATTTTGGACGGTGGTAATTTTCGTTTATCTACGCTTTCATTGGATTTTTCCTATCAAAATTCAACTATCTGAGCGAGACTTTGCCGACGATCCAAGCACGACATTCAAGACTGGTCAATGAGGCACTGCCCCGAGAATTGACAGGACACGCACTCCCTCTGATACAGCGCATTGCAATGAAGTCGGCCTCAACCACGAAATGAAAGCTTTCTAATGACAGACGCCCAAGAATGTTACAACTATCGAAAGTCAACTTCACAGCGAGAGTATCATGACTGATTGCGCGGCTCCGCTCAAGGAAGCGTCATCGGAGAATGCAGGAACACCCAAAGAGCGGAATGCATTATGCACGACCGTTTATCCTTATCAAAGAAATGTCACATATACCCGTGGACATATTCGGATTACTAATTAGACAATCTCAGCCGAGGTCAAGCCCGGCCATCTTCATATTTGTTGTGGGAAACACAGTTCAAGAAGTCTGGTCCTGGTGAATCCCTGTAACTCCCGGAAATGGAGGAGAGTGATGAGCTGAGAACATCCTTCCCCACGTGTATCACCTACGCATCTGGAGCCAAGCCTGCTTACAGGACATGAGACCTCACTGGGATAGATATCCGTGACAATCAATGTCCCTTCTTTCGATATGTTGATGTCGAAGATTGTTTCAAATCAATCGGAACATGTTGTTTCGCACGCCGCGCTTCATTGCATTCGGTTTGCCGTCTTCGTATTCAATTCCAGAGGCTCCTCCTGCTCCAGACATTTGTTCGAGTCGCTCGCGAAGCTCGGCGTCGGCTTGGGATACGGTTTTGGCCTTGGGTGGAGGCGCGTGGCGCTTGTTGTCTTGGTTCGAGGAGTTATTTGATAATACCTGATTGCTTTCCTCTTGCTTGGACTCAGTGTTTCGGTGGCCTTGGGAGTCTATAAGTCCTCCAACACATTGGATGTTAGCTCTGAGATAGGCCTATGAACGGAACTGACTGACCTTGAGCTTCTAATGCTCTGAATGTTGTTGATAAGGATCGTACATAAGTAACATGCAATTGACTGGATAATGTTTTATTCAGAAGGAATAGAGACCCTGGACCCTTCACATTCATACTGTAGTAGCTCTCGAGCTTGTTGTACGTTTACTGAAGTTTCTGAGATCAAAGAACATGTTCAAACACAGTCAACTTATCTGACTGACGCAATTCAAGATAAGAATGTCCACGTGACTATAAAGAAGTCACGTGGATTCAACCGCCCCCGCGATTCGGACGGCGATCATGAACTTGTTCTTGTCACTTACTCCTCCGATACTCTTTCGACGAGTCTGCCATTATTTTATCTCAGAATGGCATCTGTGGCTTACTATGAGCTTTACCGAGGCAGCAGGTAATATACACGGTTAAGCAAATCGAAAGCTTCAAAGCTGACTCAAGGAACATCTAGCCTTGGGCTATCCCTCACCGATACCCTCGACGACCTGATCAACGAGGGCCGTATCGAACCCCAGCTGGCAATGAAGATCCTCGGGACCTTTGACAAGATTGTCACTGAAGTCTTGGCGGACAAAGTTCGGGCCAGACTCACCTTCAAGGTAACTCATTTCCTGTTCAAAGCACCCTAGCCCAAATGGGTCATGGGGTTAAATAATAGTTCAACGAGGCTAACATATACCTTTTCCCACCACTTTTAGGGCCACCTTGACACCTACCGATTCTGCGACGAAGTCTGGACCTTCCTGATCAAGGATGTCTCGTTCAAGCTGGACAACCAAACAACTGTGTCCGCGGATAAGGTGAAGATTGTGAGCTGCAACAGTAAGCGGCCTGGTGAGGTGTAAGCGGACCCTTGAATGGGCAGAGATACTGGCGTTTAATTTTGTTTCCCTCGAATGGTTGAATGGGCGTTCTACCGGCAGTCCGTTCTTGATTTCGGTAATATATCCTGCACGAGGCGTTTGAGGCAGTCCCAGTTCTTTTCATCTTGCATTACCAATGTCCAAAATGGCATTAGATACCCAACAGAATGAGGTTCATACTCGCAAAATTTTCCAGTTCGTAGTGAAGCTCTAAATTGAAGGTTTGTGTTGCGCGGAAGGCGGGTGACCTCACCTTATCGGCTGTGGATGCCTATCAGCCGCTCTCTTTCCCTCATTGTGATCTTTTGTTGAGACCGCAACACCAAGCGACTTCTTGAATTTAGAATTTACTTTATAATAATTTGGATTATGCCTAGGACATTGCCTTGGCTTCGCGCCGAAAATGACATCCCTGTGAAAAAGGAGATAACGCCGCGAAAGCGCGTGAAGACGGAACCCAGTCCTGATCGTGACCTCACTCCTAAAACCCCTCGAGTTTCTCCCCCAAGACGCGATTTCTTCAGGTCCTGTAGGTTTTAGGTTTGGAATGTTTGTGACAAAACAAAGTCTGATTGCTTTGTACAGCCCAAAGCCCGCCGACTTCTCCTATCAGACGCTGTCCTTCCGAAGAGTACGATCGCCACCAGGCCCCGCGCAACTAGAAAAGGTCGCTAACGCACCTTATAGATTTTTGGTTGAAGGAATTCAACACGATGATGGTTGGGTCATGGTAGAAGATGAGTTCTATGCCGTCGCGCAAGCGTTTACTCAACATCTACATCATGCGGAGTACCTACGACGGAGAAAGCAAGTGAAAGCCGAGCATGCAGCCGGAATGAAAGATATCGAGAGGCCTACCGACAACCGCACCCCACTTCCAAATGAAGTTGAACGAAAAAGAGAAGCCGAAGCGCTGAGGGAGCGACAAAAAGCCGGGCTCGCGCAGATCGGAGACGCAGGAGTCGACGAGAAAGATGAAGATGAAGATGAAGATGATGAGAGATGGGCTGGAACCCAACTTCACGATCTCATGACGAGCCCACGGAAAACACGATCCTTGGCGGGAGTCTATGCGCCCAAGTCCTCTACTAGAGCTGCTGCAGGCTTTGGACAGGCGCCTACTTTAGGTACTGGACGAGCCCGAGTGAACAGCATCGGGAGTGTGGCTGCACCATCTAGAGAACTAGAAGTTCCAGGAATTGAACTGGATGAAGAGACGGCCTCGGGTTCGGGTGACGAGGACGATCTTGACCTAGAAACCAAACCAGTCGTGCTGCCGCCAAAAAGAACAAATACCATTCTGCGAAAAAGTCAAACTCACGATCAGACCACACCACAAGCCCGGCCGCAATCTAAAATACAAAGCACGTTTACTACAAAGCCGAAATCGAAGCCGACACACGGACGACCCAGTCCAGCAAATGCGTATAAATCACGGGTTCAATCACTTTTTGATGACCTTGATGAACTACCAGAGTCATCTCGGATAAATAACTCTATCTCTAACAATTCCAGTAAACCGACTGCAAGAAAATCGCCTGGAACAGGCGGAGGGAACAATTTAGACGCAAAAAAATCTCGGCACAATGAAGTGCCCACCTTCTTAGTGTGACCATCCATATACCAATCCACAATTTCCCTATGAACACGCCAATTCGGTATTTCGCATTTCCTCCATTTTGATCGATTCGGCCGGGGCCTTTGTTTCATGACCTGCAGCTGAGCTCGATTTCCACCATCGGGATAACTTTACGCGCTCCCGGAGGCGGATGACAGTTTCACGCTCATCCTTCGAACATGGGCCCGCATCTTGCTCTTCGGCGACGATGGTAGAGATACCATTTCGATCATCGTTCCGTCCTTCTCCACGGTCGCTGTGCAGCTGTCCTGGGACGTAAGCGTCCTGTAATTGATTGGTCAGATGTGATCGTTCCGTCGGATCTTGGCTGGGCGAGAGAACTGACTCGGCATCAGAGAAATAAGCAGGCAATTCTTCTTTGCGGAAATTAGTGGGAGGACCCTGTTTCATAAATTTGTTAGCGACTGTCTTTGCAACGGCAAACCATCTCCCAAGGTTCTACTCGACTTACAATTTCAATAATCCGTCCCTTGTCGCGTCTGAGAGGTGCCTTCAGGCACCGGGCAATTTGTCGAAAGCATTCCATGTTGGATTGGTGGTGTTTCGATTGATCCGATCGGTGGACAAGCAGCTCTTTCTTATAAAGAGCTAGGCAGTTCGTGGGGGTTTGGAACAATGGCGATTCCAGCTAAGACGTCCTTGAATGCGAACAAGGAAACGAAAAGAATAAAGGCAACGCTTGGAGGTGAAACAAATACTATACAACGAGTGTCAAGGTGAAACGAGAGACTGGGGATGACAACACCCAAAGAAAGGAAAGGGAACAAAAAAAGAAAAAGGTCACAACTGCTTTACACCATGGAGGTGTGCTTAGAGAATGAGTGTGTCAAAAGACAGGCGGAGCGAGAGTACATATATTAGTATGTACGAAGTTATGCACATCTATGCTATTCCCGGCGTGTCAAGGACAAACCGATCCACAGTCTCCGGTTGAACTAGGCGACAGCCGTGCCTTTGGCATGGACAGGATGACAGGCTCGGCACACACCAATCTGGCAGTTCGATCCCCTGGCGGCAGCAGTGGGTCCTCCCTGGGGTCCTGGATTGCTTGGGATTGGCTTTGGGGGAAGTTCCGAATGCTTGGAGTTCCTTTTACCTATTCCGGCTCTTACTGGGAACTCAAGGTGTCTATCAGATGCGATTGATTCTACAGGTATCAATCTCTGTATGCGGGCGATAAACCCACGATCTACTGCAACTCATCGGATGCAATACAGCAGATGGGCAGTACAGGCGGCAGCCATGACCTGCAGGCTGCAGGGAAGATATGCTGGCGGCAGAGACCCATGCAGATTAGGTATTCGACCCTCAGTGGATCAAGTGAAAAGCAGTCCAGACCAAAGGGGTAAAAGGGAGAAGAAGCAAAGAGAACCCTCGTGTTCTGGCGAAACCTATCCCTCTCATACTTCGGGTCCCCTTTTCCTCCTTTGGAGTAGAGACTCATCTCTAAAGTTTTTGTATATCCCGTTTTTTGAGATACAGGATATTTTAATAATAGCCAGCTGCCGATCCCCTAAGTCCCCCCGTTTACCGGGTCGGATATGTGCATGAATGAACCCTGTGAGGGTCTTCGAAGCTCTCGGGAAACGGGATTCCTTGTCCCTCGCTCTGGGGAAAATCAATTTTACTTTATTTTCATGTAAGCTCACTAGCTCCCCGGGGCCATTGGAATGTGTCTCTTTTGCCTCGTTTCCTTTGTCTTTGTCTCGGAAACCGGGTGTTTATAAGACCCGGTTCTGGGCAAGCAATTTTAGACATTTCTTCCAATGATACATCGTCGATCGCCAATTCTGTACTCCGTACCCGTGTCGATCGATCATGAATTTGTCACTGACAGGGATGATCCTATGGGTTACCTCAGGGTTAGATATGTGCTCATATCGGGGGGAGTTATCGGTTCCGCCGGTGTATTTGGTAGATCTGATCTTGGAGGTCAAGTGTATACACAATCTCAGAGACAATTAAGGCTATTATGCTAAACCCTTTCCCGTATGAGCCCAAGTGGGATATCGCTGTATAGGTTCCAGCCACATTGGCCAATTTTGAAACAAGGCAGCCTCTTCGACTCAGTTTCCTTTGTCGCGTATTGCCTTTGTGTCGCTATAATAGTAACACCGCGCCTAAAAGGTTCCAGAAATGCCATCAATTCAATCGAAACAAAAAACCTTGCGGGTGACTGCGAGGCTCGGGAATGATTGGCGTTTTCTTTTCTTTTCTTTTTTTTTTTTGCATCTCCCCTTGCGTCGGAGCTATGCTGAGTCAAAGAACAGCTCACAAAGATTGTAGCTCTGCACAAGCTTTACCTATTACTTCGTGCGCATTCTAATATTATCAGCTTTAAGGTGGAAGACATAAGAAAGACCAATTTAACCTACTTTACTCTAATCTCTCTATTTCGGGGGTTATTGTTGGTTGTTTCATCTGGACAAACAGAATCGAGCCCTAACTTGAATGGAACCGCAGGGATAGGGAATTCTCGGACCCTGAGCCAATTCCAAGTGAAACTATGCGTAGCTGAAAGATACGCTTATTGATATATTTAGAGAACTTAATTTCAACCATTTATTCAATCTATATTATCCTGGTAAACGTTTAAACCACGAAAGAGTACCAAGCTCGACAGTGGTATGTATGTATTACAGTCCTCGCAATGCAAGGTGCTTCTAGATCTGGACTTTCCAGCTGGAAGATCCGATGTCTATCTGAATATAGTATACTATTGGTTCATCGGCCAGTTCTAATAGGGTGACTCCCCGAACCGGAAGGTTGGCTTACATTCCTGGCTATTAAACTCACCGGCAATTGGGGCATTGCTATTTTACCCGGGAATGTATTCCCGTGCCCCAGGGATCTAACACAAACGCTCTACACTACAAATTTTATCTATGTTATGGGAGGATGGGAGGTGAATGACTGGGTTCATAACCTTAAGGATGTGAGTCTACAAAAACACCAGATTCTGGATTGGTGCAAGACGCATGATCAAATTAGAAAGCTTTAGCTATGTATTGATATATATTGTATACTAGAAAGGTCTGTAGGCTGTATGAAACAATTGGTCGTGTGTATATATATATAGCAAAGGAAGATAACATGCGATCTATTCTTTCACAGTATTTACAAAAGTCAAGGCTCTATGTCCCATTAAAATTGCAAATTCGTAGACGCTCGAAGCAGTGACTGAGAACTTCAAAGAACTCTGTCGGTGAAGTCTATGACTTGTGCTTTCTCGATGAGCCCATCGAGGGTTTTAACGAAGGCCAGATGAGACGGATCACTTTGTACATAGTAGTCCCGATCTGCAGCACTCGCAAACTCTACCACGAATGCGTGTGTAATTCCATTCTATCATGCGTTAGTAAAATATCCCAAGAGTTCTCCGTCTTCCGGGATCTCAGGGAAACTTACCTGGTTGCCTTCGGGAGAATTATCTTTCCCGCCAGACGCCGATTTGATGTAGGGCTGTTGTGAGGTGGGATGGACACAATTGTCCTTGAGAGCAAGCATACGTTCGCAGGCCTTTGGGGTAATTGTTAACATCCATTACAAATTGTTTATCGTTCATAGTCCGGTTCATCTGCGTCATGGTCTTTTGGTAAAACGTACATTGTGAACAACCTCAGCGGCTACTTCTGACTTGAACTGGAAAAGAACAATATGGGTAATCGACATGCTGAATACTCGTTCCGTACAATATAATCTTGAAAGAGGGTAAAGTAAGGACTCTGTCGAGCGGGGTAGGGATCGTAGGATAACATCTCGAATCACATGACCGATGTACTTTTGGTTGGCAGAAGGCGCCATTCTCTAGGACATGAAGAAAAATGAATGATTGGTCTAGTTGGATAGAAGAGAGAGAGAGAGAGAGAGAGAGAGACTACTTGAAAACAGCACAGGCTGACCGATGTAATGCCCAAGGCACTAGCATATAATTACTTCTCGACTGTTAACTATGTAACCACTTGCGAACTAGTTATGAATTCACTCTTTCTAAACATTTTAGCTATAGCTTGATAATTGATTATTTCCCCAATGTAAAGCCTACATCATTGGTAATGCCTGCAAAATGACTTGAATCAAGCTTAGAAGAATGCTGATACCGCCAAAGATAGCCACCAACCAAAATGTCCAGTACTGTAGCACATTGCGCCTATCCCTTATCAGACCGAGAATTGAGCTTGGCCTTGCATCTCTCAGATCCTTTGATAGGAGCTCAATCCGGTCATACAGCACGGGAAAGTCTCGGGCGGCGAAATAGAGTGGCCTGTCAGTCGGAAGCATTGTCAAAGTTTATCCAATCCTTTTCTGTGTGCACATTCGAAAAAGTAGGGAGTCTGTTGGCGGAAAAGTTTCCTTGACGGTGCTAACTGAGCAAAAAGAAGACGGTAGGATAATCCGCCCCTAACTTCTCCAGGCCAGCCACATCAACCAAGACGTTAAGCGTTTCAGCTTTCAGCGAATCCTTGCAAATGCATAGGCGCTTATATGGAGCACATCGGCATGGTCACTATATTGTGAATTTACACGTAGTTGCTATATATAAAAACATTGCTCCATGATGGGCCGAGCCTTTCCTAACCCACCCTTGTATGTATTGATCGATCAGCCCGAGGTACATAAGACCCTTCCATGGGAGTATAATAATAACATCCATATGAATGACCCACTTAGTTGGCCTTGGCAGGCGCTTACCCTTCACTTGTAACTGGATTTGATATAGGACAATCTGTGTGATGATGTGTGATTCAATACCAGGGCGTCAGCCTTTCTTTTGCTATAAAGTAATACTACGCACCCGAGAGCCAGCCCCTCACTTTTGTTTTCATTTCTGTACCCTCTTCTTTTGGCACTCATTCAACACCCAAAATGAGTACATCAAGCCCTTTTGGTCTCAAAGAAGCCACCAAGACGCCTGATGAAATCCGAGGAGAGACCCGAAAAGAACACGATAAGAGTCCGATATGGCAGGCAGCCATTGATAGATATTATGAAGAGTTGAGAAAGGGAGGAGTCAAACGCCCAACTATTGATCGCGATGTTTGGAGCATCCATAGCCCGGACGACCTCATTCAACAAATAAATGACTTTGCACCGGCCAATTCCATGGTCGGAACTCTGCGCAGACTCGAACCCATACTTCTTAGTCTCAATGATTTTGCGGCAGTCGTCACATTGGCTCTGGGGATGCAGGGTCAAGTTGCAGCACTTATCTGGGGATCTATGAGACTAATTCTAAAGGTAGAAAAGCGAAATCCGAAGCAAACGAAATTGTGAATACAGGATATTGACTGTGCCAGTTTGCGCGACCAGTTCTTCCTGAAGTTCTTCCTGAATTACTCGATACGTTCGAAGAATTAGACCGAGCTTTACCAAGATTTTGCAAATATAAGCAAGAGCTTCCAATCACAAAGGCATTGGAAGAAGCTCTCGTGGCAACGTACACAGAGATAATCCTGTTCTGCGCTCAATCCATCGCATTTTTTTCGAAATAATCCGAACATAGCGCATAGTCGAAGCGCCTGGTCCAGATTCAGCAATGAGATTCCCAAAGTTATGAAGAATATTCGACACTATTCAAGGGTTGTGGATGAAACAGCCGACATGATACGTCTTTCCAGGGAGACTTACTCAGCGGATACAATCGACGCGATGAGTTTCCTACAGGATTCTAAGCCCAAGGAAATGAACATTCCGTGTTACATGGTACCATATGGCCTCAACAACATGTTTTTTGGAAGACCACTCGAGAATGACATGCTGAAGAATGTGCTGGATCCAGATGAAAGTGCTAAGAGCATGAAAGTCGTTTCAATCTACGGAACAGGGGAGTTGGGAAAACGCAACTTGCCCTGCACTACGCCAACACTTCAGCAGATCTATTTGATGTGATTGCTTGGATTCCATCGGGAACACAAACCAAATTCACGCAAGCTTTGGCAAAATTCGCATCCAAGCTTGGTATCCCGAAAGCGGAAGATGCAGAAGATGAATACCAATCAATCCAGAAAGTGAGGGACTGGCTGAATGTATCAGGCAAAACTTTCCTTTTAGTATTTGACAACGTTGAAGATCATAGGATTCTAGAACAACTTTGGCCAGCCAGCACTCATGGGTCTGTGATCATCACTTGCCGCTCGCACTCAGTTGCAACGAAGCGTACCACCGATTTGATACATCTCCAATGTTTTACATCTGATACGGGAACAGAAGTACTTTTTTCTTTGACTGGTTTAAAACCATCGAGTGAAGAGGATGCAGCAGCTGCGAGAGAGTTGTGTGAATTGCTGGACGGTTTTCCCCTTGCCATGGTCCAGATCAGCGAATTCATAAATGAACGTGGATATTCTTATCAGGAGCTTCTGCCCGTTTACAAAAACTCGGCCGCAAAGATATTCGCAAGATCGGCAGTGCCACTACAATACGAGCATACGTTGAACACAGTTTGGGATGTTTCGTTTCAATTGCTGTCCACCGAAGGGATGATACTGCTAAATATGCTTGCCTTCTTTGATCCTGATGCGATACCGGAATGGCTACTGTCAAACCCAAGAGCCAATATCACTGAGTCACGTTTAAGTTTCTTGTTGGATGATTTTGAGTAGGTTTCAATCGCCCTGCAACATACGCTAGCTTTCTTACAATGAATAGGTTTGGCGATGCTATCATCAGTTTAACAAGGGCATCGCTGATTGTCCGATCGCCCGCAATAAAAGCAATCACATTGCACCGACTTATCCAATCTACTGTCTTCTCACGATTGCCTCCGGCAGACGTACTGATTTACTTGGACTGTGCAATTCACATGCTTTCTTCCAGTTTTCCGAACTCGTGGATCGAAAGGACGAATCAGCAAGGTCACGGATGGAAATTATGGCAAACCTGCAGCGTAATTCTGCCACATGTCAGCAAGCTTATGATACTGGTTGAAACGCATTCACTCAAGACCACCAATGTGGAGTTATTTGCGGAGTTGATCTTCCGCGCCGGAACGTGAGTTAACTTGGTCTACGATTAGAATGTTTTATCTGGCTCTGACTTTGAGAAGTTATCTTTGGGAACGCGAACAACCAACAACTGCACGCCACTTCTTTGAATATGGTCTTTCACTCGACATCAGCCACTCCACTCGGAATTACGCACATGCTTGTCGGCTTTTGGGTCACATTGCACTAGATTTGGCACGGCCAGACTCTGCGTTGGGTGCATATCAAAGAGCATTGACAGTAAGACGGGAATTAGAAAAGGAAAATTCTCCCCCAATTGCAGACGTGTACGACTCGATTGCGTGCAGTTACACCGAGCAAGGAATGGTTACGGAGGCATTTGAATATTTATCAAAGGCGGCAGCTATTCACAACGCACACAACCCGCTTCATATGGCTAGAACACATGCAATCTACGCCATGACATATCTCCGTGCCGAACAGCCAGGGGAGGCATTGGAAGCATTAAAGAAATGCTGGCAGCTGCAGAACCTGACTGAAGAACAGATCATTGACTCCAAATACCCCAAGCACAGTGGAGATATCGTTCTTCTGGCGAGGATCAAGTATGCTCAGGGGCTGAAGCCAGAGGCTCAGCAGCTTGCTTCTATGACTATTTCCATTCGCAGAGGTCTTTTCGGTGATAAAGGACCCAGAGTAGCCGACTCCATGTTTCTGGTTGCTCGGATGTTGGTAGCTGCCGATGAGAATGTTTTAGCTGCAAAAATGCTTCGCGCGATTGTTGATATGAGCCGAGGTGTGTCTGAAATGCAGGGACATCTCGCTCGAGCCTTATGGTTTCTCGGGATCTCAGAACGACGATTGGGTGACGCTGTTGGTGCTGAGCAGCTCAAAATTGAAGCTCTGAATGAGCGCAATAAGCTTGGTGAGAGGGGCAGTTTTGTTGAGGAGACCGATAACTGTTTCGATAGTTTGGTTGGATGGATGCTCTGGTAGAAATCTATCTAATATGTATTTTGCCTATGAACATTTCTACGATAAATTGGCATGCTTGTATTGTTTGGTTTATAATGGGCCCATAATCCACCGATGGGCCGAGGCATAGGCCCCAAACCCAGCCCATTTGGTGGGTTGGATTGGGCTGGGCTATGGGCTTTGTGGAGGTCTAGCCTTTACATCAGGCTGTTGGTGCTCTAATGCCCACGTATTTCTTCTCAACCAAAGATCTGCCAAGATAATTATGGCATTTCGCAAATATACGGCTGGAAGCTACCGTGACATTATTTCACACAGGGAATGCAAACTGTAGGAAGAGTATGGCCCAAAATTGTTCATATACTAGTAGTAATAGAATTAGGAAACAGATTATCCCCCACTATATTAAAACATGTGGTTTCTTTACTCCCTCAGTAAAGCCTTCAAGGCATCAGCAGGTGTATTTTTTGGAGCTGCAAGCTGCAGGATCTCCTTGCTGGTTGTAGAAGTCGAGCACTTCCCTTCCCAAGCTGTCTCGGGGGCGCGCTTGATTGAATAGATGACATTCTTCGATTGCTTCGTTGCCGCATATTGGTACTCATACAGCATGTCGATGAACGAGACGTCTTCGTAGCTAATATCTTTGACGGGCGTACCGATATGCTGCTCAACCATATCGACAATCTGCTTTCCAGTAATGTCCACGGGCCCGTTCAGAACATACTTGGCCTTGTTGTGGACGGAAACGTCATCCTGAGACAAGAGATGAGCTGCAATAACACCGACCTCATCAGGGTCAATAATGCCGACGGGTGCATCCTCTGATAACATCAGCCGAAGGGTATCCTGCTCTCCAGACTTACGGTATTTCTTAATGAAATCCGCAGCAGAGGACATGATAAGTGGCGAGAAGACGTTCGGCTGAAGAGACGTCCACTGCAAGTTGTTGAACTCGGGTGAGCCGAGGAGAGCCTCGATGGCCCAGTGTTGGCGCGGATAGTAGGCAGGGCAATCCGGGCGAACATTCGCAGCAGTAGTCGAGATTCGCACAACATAATTGACGCCAGCGCTGAGGGCGTTAACGTGGAAGGTCGACTCTTCGGCAAATTGGTTGGGTTCATTGTGCGGTGCAATAAAGGCTCTGGCAACTTGGTGTTCGCGGAGCCAGTCGGCGGTGATCTCAACCCAGTTCTGTTCGATCACTTCGACTCCGGGTAGTTTGGCAAGCTCTTGTGCCACTGGACTGCTTGAGGAGCGAGACAGAGCAATAATGCGATGCCCGGACAAAATGCTGCTTGAGTGAAGCAACTTTGGCAGTGTTTTGGCGACGGCTTGGCCGGTGTTACCAGTGGCGCCGACGATGAGGATGGAAGGAGTCATGATTTCGAAGTATGAAATATATAGTTCACACTGAGCCAGCTATGGACCAAATGTCGGGGGCTCTGCTGGATACTTATACCTTATGCCTTGGTGATTAATAATAATAATCTCAAAAAGTAGGAATTAATAAGGAGATATAAGAGTTCGAGAGTGATGATTCGCAGATTCCGTCTGTGGCCAACCCTGCCGGCCTCCCACCGCCAGCGGCCGGCATCCCACAAGGCTCGGGAGGTTGTAAGAACTAGTGAGCGGTAAGGCCTCGAATGCTTCTCGAACGTTGCGAGCGTAGAGTCTCATGCTGCGAGTCTTATGTCACTAGTCAATCAGAGCCCACTGTGATTTATCCTGCCAGAATCGACACACAACTTGCTGGCCCAGGTGGTATTACCTAAGCGGGTACACAACTCGTGATATTGTCATAAAAGTCTCGCGAAGAACTCCAATCGACAATAAAATCCCCTTACCACTATTGAAACCCCGTGCAATGACTTCTAGCCACTCAGGTCCGTGACCCAATCGCGTTTCACATACGATAACATCGGCTTCCAAGAGGTGTTCAGGGTGGTACACTGGAGAGTCGCGATTCTCGCCGAGATTTACCCCTTCCACCCCGTACCCCGTCTCCAGAATGGCTACCCTTCTGCCCCGCGGATATCGTTCTGCCACCGAATACTGTTTCGACGAAGAACAAACTGAAGCTATTGTTCGAACCACCGCCTACCACCGCAGAGACTACTGTCTATCCGTCATCTGGTTCTCGCCCCGTGAACACGTCGATATTCGCCCGTCAATAGCAACACCCTTTCGGCGGACATTAAATGTTAGAGTCGGTTCCCTCGACCGGCTACCCCTCGAGCTTTTATTTGACACGTTGTACTATCTGGACATACATTCTCTGTTCAAATTTCGACAAATAAACCTCCGATCGAGACAAATAGTAGATTCTCTCCAGCAGTATCAGAGGGTAGTCTCTTATGGACTGAACCTCTTCTGTGCTTTATTACGAACACGGGCTATCGACATTTCTCTACTCGACTTTTATAACGTATTATGTACTAAGGCATACAATTTTTGCGGCGAATTCGGCGGGTTTATATCCCTCCTAATCTAGAAGAGGTGCTGTTTTAATTGCCTCCAGTGGTCTTCGGAAACCCAAGTACGGACTCTCGCCACAGTCCGAAAGCAATTTCATATGACTAAAGCCGAATTAAACCAACTGAGGTCATTTAAGGCCTTACCGGGAATATACTCGATGAATGAATCTATACAAAATTCCCGCATTACGATCGTTTCTCTCTATCAGGCCACCTTGGCTTGCAGACGGCAACCGTATAGACTCCCGCAAGCCCAACCAGCGCAAGCCCAACCAGCGGGCTTAGACCGAAATCAAAAAATCAACTTTATAGGGTCGTGTGCACTTCCTTATTACGACAAACAGACTTGTAGAGTGGAACGCGGGATTTCGTGTGCTGGGTGTCAACTTGGCATTGAAAAAGGTATTATCGGCACCACGAGCACGAGTTGGGGATACGAGGCTCGAGACAAAGTATATGCGCAAGACAGCTTTTTGGACCATTTTCAGTGGTGTGAACAGGCACAGCTCCTATGGAGATCGAGTGACGAGGGCAAAAACCGGCCACCTGAGCTACCTGTGTCTGCTCGGACAGGAGGCTACTTTCGAAGAAGAGAATGACAATCATATGGAGTCCATTTACTAATACCTAGAATTGATAAAGGGGAGCCTAGAAAGCGGACATATTCCAGCCATCCAACGTACAATACTGTACTTTATTCCTCCATGATTTGTCCCATTTGGTCTATGAATTTCACCTCTTATCCACCGTCTCATCCTGGCTGACTGACTGGATTGTCCCGTAGTCACATTGATTAAAACTTTGGTGGCAGTTCCAAGGCTCTACTTTCATTCTCAAAACAAACTCTCAGGTGCAGCGATCAATCACTACTCAGAAGTTTCTGCGCACCTCACAGTTTATCCACTCAAGGGCCCCAAATTAACTACTATGAAGAAGAGATTCTTCAACAGATCATTGTGAGAGGGGCTCTTAGACATGAACCACTTTCTGAATTTTGCACCTATTGTTTGGGGATCGGAATTTCCCACACCAAGATGTATATGTAAGTTAATAAATCAATCAAAACGAAGGGGTTCTGAAATATATTTTCGCTATACACTCCATTCTACTTCACAACTCTCTCTATCTCTATATATTTTTTAGTATTTCAAAGGGCACACACCTAAGACAAAAGACCAAAACGTACATACATAAACACATCGACTACCCCATTCTTTAAATTTCATCCTTATTGAGCAGCCTTTGGCCATTTCTGGCCGTGTAAATCCAAAAATGACGCAGCAAGGACTCATTCGTAAAGTGACCAACTGCTTGATAATCTTGGGATAAGACAAAGTGTAGCTGTTATGTGCATGTGAACTTATCGTTGTCATATTTGATTGATAAAAAAAGATGAAACCATTAACAGCAAAGACATCCTTCAATGTAGATTCTGCTTCGTATGAGTAAAAAAGAGATGACCGACGCAGGGATCGAACCTGCAATCTCTTGATTCGTAGTCAAGCGCCTTGCCATTGGGCCAGCCGGCCGTGCTGTTATGAAATTTTGGCCCAAATGTGCGCTATAGGACAAATGCAAAGGCGGGACCAACCCTAAATGCGGGTTGACACCCACCAAGGTCAATATCTATCACTTGATACAACAATTGGACCTGAATAACGTTTGAATTGCTCCTTTTACATACTAGGAAATATCGTCGACGGATAACCTAGCAAGCATTAGAACGACTCGCTGGGGAAGGTCTAGTCGAGAACACGAGAAGGACTAACTGCACACCCTTCTAGAACTAGGAGGATAGCTTGATCCAATCAAGCAAATATCTAGTCAAGCGGCACATACTCGCCGCCTCCATACCAGAGACACCCTCTCCGAATGACTAGACCCTCTTGCCCAGCAACCCATTCACCATCCTCCCTAATGGCCCCCTCTTTGGGCCAATACTCATTTTCCAACTTCTGGTTAATCTCACCAATTTTATCAATCAACATCTTGACACGCGCATGGTCGACAGTCTCCGTGTCATTCGATCCCTTGACCACAAACCCGTCCTGGGTAATAAACCTTGCGATAGTGAGATGTGCCGAGGGAACAATATAACGCGAAGCAACAGGGACCTTGGTTTGTCGGACCATGTCAAATACATCTCGGCGAAGATGATGGTATGTGTAGTGCTCATTATTGCTACTAGATTCCGCTTCTAGACACTCACCAGCAGCCGGGACAAAGCCCAGCGCCAGTGCAGTGGAATCGAAGCTTACCATAGGCTTGATAAGACGTGTAGGGCGGCTGCGTGAGTATGCTGCAATATTTGCAGATGTGACATCTTTGGATGACTGGAGGGTCTGGACAAGTCCTTCAATTTGATCTTCTGTCAGAGAATGAGCGACTTCCAAGACGGTTATGTGAAGGTTTTCAGGAGGCATGAGCCAGAGTGCTATAGTCACCCGTGTGAGCAAAATAAATGGCTAAAGAGAAAATACCTAGTTGGAGAATTATATATTGGTCAACTTACAAGGAGAAATGCTCTTCAGCTCATTTTGAATGAAGCATATCAGGTCGCGAACTGCCGGCGAAGGTCTGGCCCAAATGACAAGACAGTTTCTAGGATCGACAAATCCGTCTTCCTTTCCAGGGCCATCAAGTCGCTTCAGGATCTCGTCAAGAGACCAGCCTGGAAAGCTGTCGGCTAGGATCTTTGCACTTTGCTGGCTATTGCGAGTCACTCGGTGGTTCTCATATCGAGATTGTAGTAATGCCTACTATTAGAGCAAAAAGGGTCAAACACCTGATATTATCTCGCAATTCTCGCATCCACTTGCCGAATTGTTGTTTGCCTCCGCAATTAAGGTCTGGAAAGGGTTGTCATCTAACAATAGAACTGACATGCTGAGGAGCACACTCAGATCCGGTCGGGTTTGTTAGAAGGTCGATTGAGAACAGGGTGGGAAGTGAGTCGACTACAATCTCGGCAGTTGGCAGGCTAAAAATATTTAAGGACCAAAGTTGAAACAACTAAAATAGCCGACAAAAAGGCAAATCTCGCCAGTTTGTTAAAAGCATAGAGCATCGAGCCCGAGATGACAGGAAATGGTAACATTAACTAGCAAATTTGAACTGCTAGTATATAGATAGTGAAGCCTTGGACATCTTACCAAAAAGGGAGATCGTTGAGGGATGTGTCTCGGGTTGGTAGGACCTGAGCTCCCCCGAACTACTCCATAAATCAAGCCCGAGCAGAGCTGCAGAACCTTGGCTGTCGGCTGTCCGTAGATATCGCCCATCTAGGTCAAATCGTGCAAGGCTCTTATGGTTGTAAAAAATATATATATCATCACTTAGGCGTAGCAGGAGAGAATAAATGTGCATTCATCGACAAGGTAATATATGTAATCATGATTCTGTAGTAACTTATGCGATAAATCTTATTCTCTTGGCGAAAAAAGAACTTATCTCACATGCACATATTCATTTGGGGTAATCCTTGATGTGGTGGCTTTTCAGTTTGACAAACTGCTCAAAACCAAATCTACTTAGGGTAACACCGCGTCCAGAGTTCTTCCAGCCTGTCCAGGCGAGATCCTATAGGGTACTTCGGTTAGCGAATGGTGACAATAGTAGATGGGAAGAGCCGAACTTACGGCGCTAGGGTAGTCAGATCGGTTGACGAAGACAGTGCCAGCCTCAACACGTCCAACCAGCTTCTCGGCCGCTGCAATGTCCTTGCTCCAAACACTGGCGGTAAGACCGAAGTCGCTATCGTTCATCAAACGAACAGCCTCGTCGTCACCAGAGACTTTCATTACAGGAATAATAGGCCCAAATGTCTCATCCTTCATCACGGCCATATCGTGATTAGCGCCAGTCAGCAGTGTAGGCTTGACATAATTTCCATTCGGAGGGAAGTTCTCAAAGGTCTCATTGGCAGGAGTCTCGTTCTTCGCGCCCTTCTGCACGGCGTCCTCGATGTGTGCGAGAATGGCCTCCTTCGCACGAGTAGAGACGACAGGTCCAATTTGGGTCTTGGGATCGGAAGGCTCGCCAACACGGTAGTCGCTCAGGACCTTCTTCACCTCAGCAATGAAACCATCGTAGACCTTCTCGTGGACATAGACACGCTCGATTGCGCAGCAGCTCTGTCCGCTATTGAAGATAGCGCCATCCACAACTTCCTCGGCGGCCCAGGTGAGATCTACATCATCTCTTACGTAGGCTGGGTCCTTGCCACCAAGTTCTAGACCAACATTCACAATCCGATCGGAGGCTGCCTTTTGCACTGCCAGTCCACCAGCTTCGGAACCAGTGAAACAGATATGGTTCACCAGTGGGGACCGCACCAAGGCCTCGATAGATGTGAAAGATCCGGAGTGGAAGAATTGAAGCACATTTCCGGGAAGACCAGCCGCGGCAAAAGCAGAGGCAAATTGTTCAACGATTGTTGGAGTCTGGGGGGGAGGGCTTGAGAATAACAGCGTTTCCAGCGAGGATGGCGGGAATCAAGCTGTTGACAAGGGTGAGGTAGGGATACTATATATTGATTTATCAGTATCTGCAGGTATACCAGTGTCTTTACGGGTTGGACTGACGTTCCATGGGAAGATAATCAGCGCTACACCGACAGGGGAACGCTTGATATACCGTCTGAATCCCTTCTCTTCCTCTCCAGGCACAATTCCTTGCTCGCCTAGCACGGAGGCGCTAATACGGACCAAGTAACGACTACGCTTGATGGCGGTCGCGACTTCAACACCGGTATAGGCGATGGGCCGTCCCATCTGATCGGTAATTTCACGAGCCAATTCATCCTGCTTTTTCTCCAGGATGTCAAGAGCACGTTCCACGATTTTCTGCCTTTGTTCCAAAGTTGTGGACTGTGAGAATGACCGGAAAGCTGCTTGGGCAGCCACAGGGATCTGTTTCAACTCCTCCGATGAGACACCGGTGCGGGTGACAACAGGCTCATTGGTGGCGGGGGAAATAGTCGAAAGGGTTTCCAGCGACATCATGCAAAGTATTTATGATTCAACTAATATGAAGAGAAGACAAGGAATTGGAGAAGATGTTGGGGAAGGAATGAGGGGCAGTCACGTTATGGTTCCCCGCAGTTTATCTCTTATCGTGAGAATGAGATCATCGTCATGGAGCACTCCATGGGTACATCTCCAGGGGCTCATTAGCATTCCTCAAGCTCTATCTATAAATCTCTAACTAGACGTGCACCCGCCCATGTATAGCGGTAGTTATGCTGGTACCAATTGACACTAAAATGTGTTAGTCCAGTTTGCTGATTACCATAGAGTCTATACTTACAAAGTAGTCCGGCCAGCAATGCGAGGTAGAGTAGCCCAGGAGCCTCCGAGAACGATATTGTGTTTTCCGTCAAAGAAGTCCGCTATTGAGGTCAATGAGTTTAGGTTCGATTTTGATGCTCAAGGTATCACTCACATGTGTATCCAGGGTAGATATCCATAGACTTGAAGCCGTCGTGCGGCATCAAGGGCGTGCTAGTCCATTCCCAAACACCTCCCATTTCACCCTGACCAGCTAACTGGTCCCCATTGGGTGTGACGGGAACAGGGTGCCAGTTATTAAAGCCAACATTGCAACCAGTGAGATCACGGAAAACAGTCTGACCAGTAGACTGAGGCTTGCTGGATCCATTGACCCCATTCCTATTTTATAAGTTAGGTTCTGCTATATCATGATTAGAATTATTTTCATACCTCTGGCCATTCATGACTGGATCACTCTTGAGTTGGTCGGAGTGGTGATATATGCTCCTGGTCTCTTCAAACGTGGGGATCCTGCATTTCATGTGCTTTGCATAGCTCGCCACTTCGTCATAGGAAGCAACCAATGGCCAATCTTGTGCAACTTCAAGAGCCACAGGTCCGAACACAGTTCGAACCGTGACATCCTTGAAAGAAAATCCTGCAGGGCTGGAGCTCGAACCGGCCTGGGCGCCTGAGGAACTGATGCCCTTGGAAACGGGATTGTCCTGGCTTGGGTTAAACACCCAAGACGCAGGATATGTTTGAATACCCTTATCCTGTATGTACTTGGCATATTCACCATTGGTGATGGGTCTCGCTTGAGCTTCGAAGGCATGCACAGTAACCTTTCTTCGGGGCTTCTCGTTGTCCCATCCAAAAGAGTCATTTGGCATAACTTCTTCATTGGAGTCATCCAATCCAATTGCGATAGTCTGCTGCGGAATTCTGAACCACTTGTTTGGCTTTTCGTCTCTCTTCGCTTGGCGCCTGATTTGCTCAAAATTAGGGCAATCAACACCTGTAGGAGGCAGAGTTTTATCACTCTGGAGCAGCATGTAGAGGAAGGTCTCGAGATGCATTGCTTCGTGTTCGTAGCCAAGCCAAAGAGCTTCTCCAAGAGCGCGGTCTTGTGACGCATATCCCTCCTGTAGGATTGAGAGCGCACGGTTTCGTACTCTGTCTTGGTAGTCCAGAATTTCGTCGAGTGGTGGCCACTCATCGGGTATTTCACTGTGGCTGTGGCATTGCCGTGGGTCTTCGACGTCCGGATCAATTCCGCGCTCAAAAATTAGTTTATAATGAGTGGGCTCAGTAAGCTCCTCCTGTAAAGCCCGCGACAGATGGATATCTAGGTTCCAGCATGGTTAGCAATGAACATGATAAGCAACGTTGAACATCGGAGACACACCGAAAAATGTCGGAATGTGGCCAAAATAAAAGATCAGCTCATTTCGGAGCTCGATCGGCTTGGACAAAAGCTCCTCGTGAGAGACCATGGTTCTAGTCGCGAGATCCCATGCAGTCCACAGAGACTGAAAGTTGTCGATACTCGGGACCGGTTGGGCTGCATACTTCGAAGGGTTCATAGACACATCAAGCGCAGCGGGTGATAGCAGATGAAGGTCTGTTTAAACGCAAGTTAGCAAGTCCACTGTGTTGATTGGTTCAAAAGATCAAGGCTCACGATAATCATCCGTCAAATTTCCAAATTCGACCTGGGAAATGAGATTTGCATTGCGCCAGAGCTCATCCCGTTCGTCGCGACCGTACTTCCATGCCTCTTCAAAGATGAGCTTCTCTCCTTTGGGAATATTGATCCCATTGATAACCACATCAACTCTCGGAACATAAAAGGCTTGATGCCGTCCCTCAGTGGCATCGTACTCGGTCAAGATCTCCCATTCGTCGGCCTTGAAGGCCTCGAAGCCAAGAACCCTATTGGCATGCAGGAGGCCATTCTCATAGAACTGGCGAGTAATGCCTTTGGTATCGTTATAGGCCTTAAACACCTTCTCTGGATTCTTGCATGCATCCAATCCGATAAGCATGGAATCGGACGGGCCCAATAGCTTGGAAAAACCACCAAGAAATTCCGCAGCACCCGGAGGACTAAAATTTCCCATGGACGATCCCATCGACAAGACCACGGTCGGTCGCTTCCGATTTTCTGGGCTTTTCAGCCAGCCGACAGCATCATCGTACGTTCCGTGGAGACCATGGAATCCTACATGGACGAAGCTTTCGGGTGAGATTTCAGAGAATGTGCGCTGTAACTCCACCAGTGAAAGGTCCAAAGCATAGTAATCCACTTTCTTTTCAGTCCTTTCACATTCGCGAAGTAGAATCTCGACCTTGCGCAGGTTTCTAAAAAAGAAATGGTCAGAATTTAGGACAAAAACATCCAAGGCGCGATGCGACAGATGCAGGGTGTATCGGTAACAGACCCACTGCCGAGCTCCACCAACTGTGCATTTTCTGGAATGCGTGCGACTATCCTCTTCGCATGTTTCGTCAAGATCTCGATCTCCGTATTGGTAAGATAGTATTCATCCAAGTAAGTGATCTCTTCGAAGAGCTTCAATCCTTTGGTGTCGTAGAGTAGAAGGGTTGGGAAAGTGCGCTGTCTGGCTGATGGCGAGTCCAGATTCTTGTAGATCTCATCTACCAGGGAGAATTCCATATCATCCTGGTGGATATTCACGATTTCAACCGTGTCGATGTTTCTGAGCAAGGTAGGAGACATGACTTGGAAGGCGTCAGTGTCAGTTCAGTAGTGAAAGCAGTTGAAATAAGAAGTGTCAAGTGAAACCAGCCTAGTCAGCGTACCTGCTAAATTAGATCTCAATGACAAATGATTACAGGGGAGGTCCAGGGGTTGGAAGATATATAACAACTTGGTCTATAAGAGAGTAGGGAAATAAAGGGAAGAGAAAAAAAAAAAAAAAACTACATAAAGCCCTTGGGGATTCTACATAAATATGAGATTCCAGCCTCTAACCCGGTTTTGTAAAGATGTAACAATGTTTGCAACAACACCCCCGCAAGTCTAGATTCATGGGCTGATTCTCTAAGTGGATTACTGTGGGAAGATCTGTAGTATCAGATTGGACAGAGTAGAGTAGACAAACAATTGACGCACTCTAATGCGTATTTTACATCGGAGTTGGAGTAAGACCATACAATATTGTACTGCAACACTCTGCAGCTAAGTAACTTTGGGTATCTCTACCGACCACAGTTCCCAATGAGTGGTGGATATACCCGAATATACATAAATTAATTTAGTGACATGCCCTTAGTCTTACTCTTCCCCTTTGTCTGGTTGCATCTTGCCGCTTCGAAGTGTTGTAGACACGGAGAGTAGATGTGGGGCTACAGCGAGTAGGTGATGTCATAGGTGGCATTTTGCTGCATTTGTATAGTTTGCTCCATTTGCTCCGTTTATGTTTGTTATGTTTGTTATGTTTACATGCTTTGCTTGATTTGCATCTTGTTAGGACTCAGGAGCCCCTCTTTTCCAAGTGAGTTGTTCCAGCCTATGTTTAACCAGTACAAAGGTTTGGGGACAAAGCAGGTTTCAAATAATATGTTTTTTATTAACTCAATTAGTACAATGGATTTTTTTCCCAAAGAAACAATAATCTCTTTCATCAGTATGGGGCATCCTCCTTCTGAAGCTACCCCGGCAACTGCTCGGCGGACAGGTATATAAACCGCAAAAGAATGATCTCAAACAAACTATTCATCAGCTTGAGAACATCCCAAGATATTCCTATTTCAAAATGGCCAACATTTTTCGACGTCTGCTCAGGAGTATCAAGTCCCGACGGGAGACCGCCGTCACACCTGCCGAGCTAGAAGAACTATCTCGAGCCATCGATGCATCGTTAAAATTTCAGATGGAATTTCAGATATGGCTCGCAGGGCACAATGCTATGCTCGCACACATCAACTCCACTAACCCCACTCTTGGTATCCCCCTTTTCAATCTGATTCCCACTCCCTATCTGACATTCCTAGAACAATCTCGCCAACAGGAATAACGCCAACCTCTATCAATGATATCTGGCTATGTGCATACAGTGGCTCATTACTGGTAGATGCAGAAGAGCAGTGGAAATGTGATGAGCCAGAACTTGCAATGGAGCTTGCCTCGCAGGTCATTAGCCACAACCCCTTTCTGTGCGAACTTGATGAGATGCGATGTCGACTTTTTATCGCTGCCGTTCAACACTCTCTTTGTCAATATGAAGATTCCATGGCGACCCTAGAGACGGTTGTGCAAATTAACACCTGCTATACCGTCTTAAACAACCCAGAATCTAGCATTATCGCCGGTATTACTCAATTTATTAAAGGGATGAATCTCATGAAATTTGAGAGGTTCCCAGAGGCTTACACATCGCTCACTCGAGCACTGCATGTACCAGGCTACAGTGAAAAGATCTGTGAGGTCCAAAGGCAGGCTGTCATTGGGTTTACTTGCATAGAGGCCGCTGAGTTTGATCACTCCCCGGAAGCGTCCACCCATGCATTATTAGATTGGGAGGATAGTGAGCTTGTAAATACAAACAATCCCTAAAGGACTATCTTTATCAAGCCGTCCCGAACATAATGTCCTCCTCACACACCACCTCAAGCAACCTAACTCTTGCTATTCCCATTTTCAAATCCAATTCTCAATTTATTTCGGGGGCCTTCTTTCCCGGATCAATGTGGCCAACGAGCAAACTGGACACGAGCTGACTTGCTTATCATGTATCAATGAACGAACCGGTGGAAATACGGAGGTAGCAACATCAAACCAATAGTATTTGGGCGCTTTGCGCTGTCACTCATTCGATTTTAGTATTTCGGTCCTACAAGTGTCGTGATTTGTAAATATTTGAACATTTGTTAAGGGAATATCTTGTTGTGATATCCTCAAGCTGATGGATAGTGCTTGAACAAAAATAGTCCAATAAATTAGATATCCACAGTTTGAATTTCAATTTCGAGTAAATTGTAACAGGACAATTCTTGTTTAGATTACCTCCGAATATAATGGGCATATCTATCACAGTTGTATATACCCAAAGTACAACGTATGTGTAGTTTGACGGAGCCAAAACACCACTAGAGCTACATACATAGGGCTAACTACTTAGTACTACATACACGGCCATAAACCTCATTTTTACCGATTTCTTGCTCAACTTGTGTAGAGCAAGCCAAGAGATACACAAAGCCAACAGGCTGGTACATGTGTAGAATGCGTCGTTTCAGTCTCAGCGAGGCTAACAACGGGATTGGGAGAGAAACAAAGGAAAGAACGACCCAAGTCTCGGGAATCCATTTTCAGACAAATCGTCTTTGTCTCGAATGGTCTCGAATGGTCTCGAAGTGTCTTAATCAACCTCTTTACTCTTTACTCTTTTCAACGCGTTTGTTGTCTTTCTTATCAATGTGTCTGTGAAGTACATAAGGGTCACTATTTCTCGTCTGGTTGCTTTCTTCCTCTCCCCCAACACCCGAAATACCAATCTTACCTTCCATCTCTTTTATCTGACGGAAATTCTTGGATCATTGCAAGACTACCAGCAATCCCATCACATCTGTTTCACAAATTTGCCAAGATCAACCCTGAAGACCCTGCTAGGGGAAACAGTATTTCCATCATGCCCGACAACGTTGCCCACGCGAGCAATGCTGGGAGCTCCCAGCAACCCACACCTCCTGTCTCTGCTCAAGAAAAGCAAAAGCTCATACTGAAAGCCCGTGCTTTGCGGGAAGAAAAGCTCCAGGCTCTTGCAAAAGTCGTCAGCAACATGTCCGTCGAATTGACTGACGGAAATATCCTCCATATGTACTATGGGGTTGAGGTTGCCTCGTATCTCTTACCAGCTTCGAGCTTCATCGCCAACGAAAATGCCTCCGGAGCCGAGTTTATGGTCAATCTTGCCAGGGAATCTGCAACCAAATCCAAAAACCCACTCCTGAAAGCCAGGTGTGAGTTCTGGATGGGTCGAGTTGAGTTTCTGCGCGGAAACATGCGCAAAGCTCATGAGCACTTCGTGAAAGCGAACCTTTGCACCATGGATCCGAAGGAGGGAGTTGAATGCCAGGACCTGAGCTTTTACTTGGATGTCACCAGGCATGGGATTAGTGAGCAGACTCGGGCTGCAAGGCTACGTGCTCATTATCAGGCTATCGTGGCGCACGCGAAATTCGACAAGACTGCGAACAACTCTGTCTCGACCGAAGACAAACGCAAGCGGCCATTGAGGACTTGGAAGGGGGCTCTCGTCAAGCTACAGCTACCTCTGGTCAAGCAACGTCCACTGACTAAAATCAGAAAGCCCCGGTGTAAGGTGCCGATTCTGCCAAAGGTGGACAAGAAGCGTCTGCAGCAAGGTATGGCTACCGAGAGAAGCTCTGAAAATGATGTCATTGGAAAGGTCCTTGCAGAAGAGCTTGGGTACGAGTCTTGGACCGATTCTGGAGATGACACCGATACCGACACTGAGGATGAATCCGATGACGACCTCAGCGGAGACCCCGCAGACGGTACAGACGACACCACAGATGAGAACACCGCAAACACCCCAGCTGTCCCAGATCAGCCAGAGCCCTCCATTGACGCGACCACAGCTCCGGCCAAAGTTCCGACTGATCAATCCGCCTACGAAATGCCTAAGCCAGGATCGGCCCGGGACCGGTTCAGACAGGAATGTTTCCAGATGGGCCTCACATCAGCAGTCAACGGAGAACCCTACGAGCGTCCGAAGGAACCGTTTTTGTTTGGAGTCCCCCACGAACGTACAAAGCAGACCGAGTTCCGGCTCGGATTTTTCAAGGTTGGTCTGACAAAACGCTCCCGCCCAATGACCATCTTTCCGAAACAGGACGGTGAAATCACTATTTCTCCGGAGGAATGGGAATCCATCGAGGAAGATGCTCGTCAAAAGATTGTGACCTATGATTACTTGCAGAAGGAGCGATATGAATTGCTCAAGGTTGCTGAGGAGATGTAAGCTGGTGGTCGATTGGGGAATGCGGACCGAAGACTGAGATATGTTGCCGGGAATATATGTATGAATTATTTAGTTCGAATGTTTTCTTCTTCTTTCCATCCTGGATCTGATGATATGCACTGAGTAAAGTAAGTAAACTTGATAAATTGATAATCATTTTCGGCCATTAAATTTTTGTCTGGAGAGTGTTGGTGTTCAAAGTCCCCAAAGAGGAGAGAAATCTGGTATACAGGAAAGGGATTTAACTCATAATGTCAATATTGGCTGTTCCTTCCATCAATTGGCCCAAGTGGCTGAGCAGTTTCCTGGTCTAGCGGTTATGATTTTCCGTTAACAAATGCGATTCAGCGTATGTTCCGGAAAGGTTCTGGGTTCGATTCCCAGGGAAACTATTTTTTCTTTTTTGATTTTTGTCCCTAAATTCATTTTGATCAGAGGCAATTGATTGTCTGTCATTTATTGGAAGTTATTAATTAATTGATCTGAATTGAATGTCATCTATTTCCAATGTAGTACGACAATACCACTACTGACTCTAATTCTTTTTGTCTGAATGATTTTGATTGACTGTCCAAACTCTAAGTGGTATTTAAAAAAAAAGAATTATATATAAAATATGTGCGCTGTCATAAATGTCAAAAATGTCCAAGATGGAAACCAAAAATGCCAAATCTCTAAACGGTGAGGAAATGGGGAGCGTTCAGAACCAAACCCATCAGGCATCCACCAATGGTACCAGCGATGGGAATGGTCATGATCCAAGCAAACAACAAAAGACCGACACGCTGCCAGTTGACAGCCTTGTAAGTTCCGTTGCACAGTCCAACACCGACGGTAGCGCCAGTGATGCACATAGAGGTAGAAACGGGCAGAGAGAACTGCGAGAAGACCAGAACTGTGATGGCGGCACCCATCTCCATGGAGGAGCCACGGGATGGGGAGTGGTAGGTGATCTTGTTACCCATGACTAGTTAAGTGTATAGTTAGTAAAAATGGAAATTAGAAAAAAAAAAAAAAGGAAAGAGGAATGGAGTGCTTACCCTTCATGATGTTGTATCCGTAAGTGCAAAGACCGATGGAAATGCAAATGGCCAAGACAGCAAGCTGCCAGATGGGCACGGGGGACTTGGATGCAGCGGGGGTACCGGTGGACCAGGCAGAGTAGATGGCAGCCCAGGGACCGACGGAGTTACCGATATCGTTGGCACCGTGAGCGAAGGAAGCAGTGCAGGCAGTGATGACCTGAATGAAAGAGTATGTGTGCTCGACCTCGTTGGGGTACTTCTCGGCGTTGGCATAGACACGCTTCATGCGCTCACCCTCGGGAGTACCCTCGTTACCACTCTGGGCAGAGTGGATATCGTAGTGGAAACCGTAAAGAAGACCGACAGTGATGATGGCCGGGATGCGCTTGGCCATGCGCTTCATGTTGCGGAGTTCGTAGATCTCACCGGGACCCATGGGGTTGTCGCGGAGAAGGCGCATAGCCCAACCGATAGGTCCACGGCTTTGGAGGAGTTTGGCGTTGTGACGATCGTCGGACTGGGCCATGACTTCACGGTAGCTGAGCTGGTTGGCCTCGAGCCTATCAACGGATTGATCTGTAGAGCCTGGGATGGAGGCAACGCCGGCTTTGGGCTCCTTCTCATCGACAGGCAGCTGAGGCTCAGAGTACTCGGGCTCATCTTGAACCACAGCGTAGTTGGGGACCTTGGCAACCTCGGAATCGGTAGGAACAGGACGAGTGAAGAGAAGAGGGCCTTGGATGACCATCCACCATTTCACACTGGGGTCCTTCTTGATGACGCGGGAGTGGATGAAAGGAACGAAGAAGATAGCAGACAAAAGGCAGACACCACCGCCAGTGCCCATAGTGACAGCGGCAACGTACCAGCCGGGCTTCTTGTCCAGACCCAGGTTGGGGGAACCCTTGTACACAATGGAGAGCGTGCAAATGGTGGCAGCGACCAAGAAGAAGAAAGGAGCACTCCAGACAGCCCAAGAGATCGGGTTTCTCCGCACGTGAACGGTGTACTTGATCAACAGGAAGATAATAGCACCAAAGCAACCGGAAATAACAGGAGCCATGCCGAGACCAGCGAAGATAGCACCAAGACCCTTACCGTCGTTCCAGCCCCACTGAACCTGGGAAGCACCAACAGTTGCAACACCGACACCGGCGACAGCAGAGATGAGAGAGTAGGTGGAGGAGACGTGGGCGGAGTTTTTGGTACACCACATCACCCATGAGGATGCAGCGACAAGAGCACATGTGAAGGCGAGCATTTGAACGCCGGCATTGCCTTGGAAGGCTGAGTTGGGGATGATGCCGTTCTTGATAGTATCAGCGGTGCGAGCACCGACAGCAACCGCTCCGACGAACTCGAAAATGGTACCGAGAACCATAGCCTGGCGGTAGGAGATGGAGCGGGAAGAGACACTGGTAGCCCAAGAATTGGCAACATCGTCTATGAACATGCAAAGGTTAGTTGTGGTCAATGAGTATAAGATAGGCTCTGTGGCTACTCACTTGCACCGTTGTTGAATGCATCAAGCATAGCAAACAACGTGCCGATGGCAAAGATGTAATCATATTGGTGGAGATACATCTTGATTGCTTGTACCAAGTCTAGTGATACCAAGTCAAGTGAAAGCTTAGTTCTGAACCTTCGGCTGCACGGATGAGGAAGAGAAACCAAGACCAAGGCGAGAAGAGTGCCCCTTATGTATGCATGGAATATTCCACAGGTTGATACGGGCCCCCTCTGCTCCTCTATGCACGAACAAGCCCTGGTGACAAGCGTTCTACGCCCAGGAGAATTTCCCAAACGGGAAATTCTGACCACACGTGCTGGTTCTACTCGCAACGATAGCCCATGGAATCATTGTTCGTTGGACTTGGCAAAAACTAAATGTAACAAGGCCTGGCCAAGAGGGATAATCGCACGTTTCCGCAAGCTTGTAGTCTCAAGCAAATTGGACAAGACCTTGGCAACGATCTGGGCGGAAGATACGACATGGAATTGTATCCCGATTAGGTATAGATCCAGTGGAAGTCAGTGGAAATGACATCTGATTGGCTACAGTCACACGGCCATTGGACTGTTGCGGCTCTTGGCGGGGGTGGGGGTGCACGACCCACCTCTACCTATGAGAGCACAGTAAATCTACACGTGGGTGTATAAGAGGCCCTGTCCCCGGAATGGCCTCTGGAGGTCTCTCGGATGAGTTCTATTCTGGAAACAAGCAACATTCATGGATGTCTTGATTCTCTCTCTACTCCCTAACCTTTGCTAGGTTTCACTCTTGCCAAGCCCCGTAGATCGGGCACTCCGAGGCGAGCGCACGTGCCCTCAATGTAAGAGGAATTTGTTCTTTTTCAATGTTGACAGCAGTTGGTGGTCAGGAAAAGGATATAAAAAAAAGGAGATTAGAGAAGTATATCTCTGGTTCATTAGTTCCAAGCTTTTTGCCCCAAGACAGCTAAAGTCATGGCTGAGTAATAGAACAATTTGCAATGTACATCGATAGTACCACATAACTAGCACGCATTAACTAGTTAGGCAGAACTGAAAGTCACAATGATATTAATAATATAACATAGCTGATGCGGGAATTTCTCGCATGCTTTCGCCCCACTCGTTAGAGGCGTTCACACCTGTTCAATACTAATATCTTGGCAATTTAGCCAGGGGCTCGCATGACCACTAAGCTCGTCAAAAGAACGAATCAATCCTATTGACCTACCCCCGAGGAGCCTTCTCACGTCAACGGTGTCTCATTTCTGTCTAGTTAGAACTTGTTCTTTGGAGGTTGCTCTCCGAAGCTAGTATGATGTGGTGGTGTGCATCAACCTGGTTCTCCGAATGGATTCATCAGGCAGCTGACCGATCTCAGCAATGCCTTTCGCCACAGTGGATTCCGGGAATCTCCCCGAGAGGAACAGGCCAGGGCGTTCATATGGCATTCCCAAGTGACCCAAACGAAATCTTTTGGCTAGCCTTAATAAAAGAAGCGGGAAAAGCGAAGAGCCATTCATTGGCTAGATCATGATAGAACGGCGGAAAGAATGTCACTTCGCTTGTCATGGATTCTAGCACATCAAAGCATTGATTTTTGAATTAACCATTACCTCAGTAGACACCGAGCACGGACACCACACTCTCGTCAACCGGGACGGGCGTCCCCCAACATTGACGCGAACCGTATCCTCAAATGCAATCTCCCCATTATTAACGCCCCAAAGCGCCTTGCTCCAATTTGTCCCCAGTCCACATCGAATATTGTCTCATGAACATCATATCCGTCAAATATATTGCCTCTTTGCGGACCGAGGAATCGACCCAGTACCAATTGTCCCCATATTATTTGAGTCATCGTGATACATCGTCGAACACTAGTCCTACTATACCCCGAACAATGCTTGCAACACCGGAATGGAAAGAGGAGGATGACGGCACTAAATTCTATGGTAGACCATACCATCGCAACAGAGACATAGTAAACGGTGTCATCCGAGTGTTGGAGGGCAACTATCATGCACACCATTCGGATAATCGACGTCCTATTTTCTGTGAGTTAACAGACAGTGACTGGGACAGAGACAGATACTTACATAACCGCACTATATAGTTAGGTAGAGATCAGTTCCTTCATCCTGTTCAATGCCGACGAAGAAAAAAACAAGAGAACTTACAAGACTCCTACGCAAAACACAAGCGAGTCACAGACAGCACAGAAATCGAAACGAATACCCGGGCCCATGCATCCACCCCTTGTGCTGCCCCATAGAGCAGCGAGAGGAGCATACCGCTGAGCGATGATGAGTGTCTGCGCGGCATACCAGACAGTCATGAAAGCGCAAGCAATATGGAGATAGAGGGTAAATCGCGGCATTTAGTCCAGATGAGGACAGAAGGCGATGCCGGAGATATGACACGGCCACATATGAACATATACATGAGTTAAGCTACGACAAGCCACTTATATATGTGTGCCAAGACTTCCGGGTCGTTCGTCAATGCTGCGAGATGCTGACCGAAGCCACAACGAATGACAATCAATGAACCCCAAGGACTATCCAGCTGACTGCCTATATGGATGGTTCAATTCCTGCAGGAGGTCGCAAGTAATTGGATCCTACGCCTATTTACCTGTGCAATCACGATTGTGAGACCGTCCGTCCCGGCTCATGGATCAGATACTCAGTATCAACACGTGGGTCTTTCATCGCAATCCACATATCTTCGGCGAGGATTGCAACAGATTCAACCCAGGCCGCTGGCTTCAAACAGAGACGAGTTATACCGACTCATTTCTGATCTACGTGCGAATTTGATAACTGCACTGAAGGACCTATTGGAGTGGGGAGCTGGGTATAATCAATGCCCCGGCCGCAAATTTGCGCAATTTGAGCAACTCAAATTAATGGCAGCCCTGATAAGTGATTACGAGATTGACAAGTAGATGTTAGAAAGCAGTGGGTATTAAACAGCCAGTTTACAGCTATTCAGTCTGCATGGCCATGCAATATTTAGAAATGCTCGCGAGATTGATAGAGAAAAAAAAGGAAAGAAAAGAAAAGAAAAAGAGATCACCGACGGCGTAAGCGGTCCCATAGCCTCCCCATGCCTGCCATTGGCTTCTCAACCACAACAGTGGGGATAGCCTGGAGAAGGAACCCCATGGGAATAGATATTGCACCAAGAACGATGGAATATGCCCATTGATCGCCAGTCAACTTCGTGATTGAGAATGCCCGCCCGCCGACGAACATAATTAGGATTTGAGCTCCCATCATGACGCAGGTGATTGCTATGAAGAGCCAGTTATGATGGATCCCTTCGATTAGGTTAAATGATCGCTCAATTTGTCGATTGCTGTATTGGGGTTAGCAAGCGAGAAAAAAAAAAAAAAAAAAAAAAAAAAAAAACCGAAGGGAGTCTCAACATACTTGTACATGTTAAATATTTGCATCCAGACATAGGTGTTGAAAACAGCAGTCTGTAACTGTGATGTTTGAAGGGCACTGTGGTAGGAGAATATAGAAGAGCCCGCGAAGTACAGAACGAGTGTTACTACCATCTGATACACAGATTGGCCAATGATCATCTTCCACATGGTAGGAGTAATCAAAGGTGTAGATGTTGGCTCCGGTTTACGGTCAAGGATCCGGCGAGGAGGGGGGTCGGTTGCTAGTGCCAGAGCTGCCAGAGTGTCTTGGAAGAGGTTTACCCACATGAGCTGTACTGGTGTAAGAACCGACTGTTGCGAGGAGTCGGCTACCGCAGAGACAAATGCCAGGCCCACGGAGGTGAAGGTGATGGTAATTTGGAACTGGAAAAAGCATATTAGTCCGACCGGCCATCTATACTCCTTGTTGATAGAGCCTCTAGTTTACCTGCAAAAATTTCTTGACGGCATCGCCAACTGCTCTCCCCCACATGATAGCCTTGACAATCGAAGAAAATGTATCATCCATCAGGACAATGGAGGAAGCCTCTCGGGCAATTTCAGTGCCGCATATTCCCATTGAGAACCCGATATCAGCAGCTGCAAGTGCAGGGGCATCATTTGTACCGTCTCCAGTGACAGCAACGACTCTTCCAAGTTCCTTCAAACGCTGGACTAGAACCCGCTTATCATCTGGACGAGATCGAGCAAGGACCTTGAGGCGTGGAACTAGGTCCTTTTGCTGTGATTCATCCATCGCACGGAATTTGTCGCCTTCTATCACAAGATCATCTGGACTGTTAATAATCCCGCATTCTTCTGCAATGGCTCTTGCTGTTAAAAGGTTATCACCGGTAACCATGCGCACAGTTAGGCCTGCTTTATGACTGGTTTCCACAGCACCCCAAGCATCGGCCCGGAGAGGGTCTCGTAGACCCAGAATTCCGTGAAAGGTAAGCTCTTTCATCAGCTCCTCGAAGTCGATAGTTCCCTCCTCGTCCGTGAAGGGCAGCTCCTCCACATCACGGAAGCAAATCGCAATTGTGCGCAAGGACCGTGAGGCGTACTGAGAAATTGTCTGGCGTATTTGTTCAATACCATACTGTGTGATTTGAGCAGTACTAAGCTCTTGCATTGGCTGTGCAATTGTGGCCACACATTTCTCAAGGAGAGTCTCGGGAGCACCCTTCACATATGATCGATACAACCCGTTATCAAGTTTGACAACCGTGATCATGTATTTGCGAGAAGCGTCAAAAGGCAAAAGATCCACAACTTCCGCACTAGCACGATCAAAGTCAAGCTGACCTAGCTCGAGATAGTCCTGTGTGAATCTCAATAAGGCGGCCTCTGTTTGGGACCCAAGGAACTGTCGACCTCCGTCATATTGACTTTCAATTGCGGTCGAGTTGACGACGATAGATTGCCTTAAAAGCGACCTCGATTGACTTGAGAGACGACTCATGCATTTTGCCACAGATGAAGAATTTTTTTCATCCAGAATATCTGGGCTGCTACCTCGATCGGTAAATTGCGAGGTAGCACCGAAGAAACCAGAGACAACAGTCATCTCATTCTGTGTCAACGTTCCCGTCTTGTCTGAACAGATATCCGTGGCTTGTCCCATCGTTTCACACGCTTGGAGCTGTCGAACCAAGTTGTTATCTCTCATCATTCGAGTAGTGGCAAATGACAACGCAAGTGTAACTGCCAAGGGAAGTCCTTCGGGGACTGCGATCACAACGACAGTCAAGGCCAGAATGAAGACATTCAAAAACGATTGTCCCTTTTCCGAGGCGGATTCGGTGCTATTCCGGAGGCCGACACAGAATTTGATGAACAAAATTACGAACAGCACAAGCGCCGCAATTGCACCAAAGCGGGCGATGTTCTTTGCAAGATTGCTGAGCCGTACTTGAAGCGGTGTGAACCCTGAATCGGTGTCGAGAGAGAGGAGAATTCTTCCGTAGCTTGATTTGGTGCCTGTAGCCAAGACAAGGTACGCACCGACGCCTTCCACGATCTTGGTATGAGAGAGAATGAAGGGATCGATCTCATGAGAGCCATTAGGAAGATTCGTATCGATAGCGCTCTTATCGACCGGATCAGACTCGCCAGTTGCGGAGGACTCGTCGCATTTGACCTGATGACCCCTTATCAACACTCCATCAGCAGGTACGATATCCCCTGGACTGATGTGGACAATATCACCAACAACAACCTCAGAGATGGGAACATCATGAACTCTCGCAGATCGAAGAACCCAAACATTGCGATCTTTCTGTTTCTTGTTGAGTTTCCGGAACTTGTACTCCTTTTGATAGTCATTCGCGGCACCGGCGAGAGTAATGACGACGATAGCGACAAGGATGGCAACGCCCTCCACCCATTCAACAGGCGGATTATGAGCAGTATGTTTAGTTCCGAATGTCTGGTACAGTCCCAACGCAAGCGAGATAACAGCAGCCCCAGTTAGAAGGAATAGGACGTGATCGTTGTAGGCTGCCCACATCAATGACAGGAAGTTCGGTGATTGTTTTATGGGTAGGCGATTGTCCCCAAAGAATTTCTTTCTGTCGATGAACGCATCGTGATCGAACTCTGTCGAGATAGGAAGTTCAGGGACGGCAACCTTTTCTGTTGGCGCAGTGCTTTTAGTACTGCCATCGACATTCACAGGATCACCTAGGTAGGTCTCGTCCACGCTCAGACCGGAGTGGACGTCGGTTTGCAGTGCTTCCTCCAAGCCTTTTACCCCACCGAGGGCATGTAACTCCTGGACATCTTTGGATTGTACAAGGTCGCCCAATGTGTCAGGATCAAGGGAAAAAGCCGAAGAAGAAAAAGTTGCTTGGGTGGATTGTTCCGTGGCATGTTTTGATCGCGGTTTCTTTTCGATATCGTCGGTAAGTAAGATGAATTTCTAGGCCTCACCATTGATGAACTTACTATTTGCGACCAAAAAGACATACGAGACCCATTGGGCCCTGGAGTTGGCGTCATTTCATGGAGAATGTCATTGGGAGAATTAGATGAGATAAGACCAGAAAAGGACATCTGAAAAAGTGCACATGTGCTCTGGCGAAATACAAATACGCGTACGGGCAAGTAAGTATGCCACCCGACACATAACTCTCTCATTGGTTTATATTGCTAGGCAATAATTTCGATCCACTCTCACTTCACAAGTACCATGTTGAATATATAGTTACTTTATATAGTCTTTTTTATAAATAAATACTGTTGAGCAACCTGTTACTATGTGGGGAGAAAGCAGAGGAAGAATTATTAATTAATTAAACTAGAAGTATAGGGGGCTATATACCCTGCTAAAACCATCTAAACTCTGCTCGATTATAGTACACAAGGTAACAAATAGTAAATAACGAACAAATAGGGCTTAGGCTGTAGCAAACATATATATAGGAGTACGGGCGACTAAGTATGCCACCTGGGACATAACTCTCATTGGTTTATATTTTCTGGCAGTATTCTAGATCCACTCTCGCCATACAAAAACTAATTGTTAACTATAGGACAAAGCGAGAGTATCTATCAATTGCTCCATAAATCTTAGTCCCGAAGTTGACTAGGTTTACATTGCTATCCATATGCCATATAAGTTAGTCCTAGAAAGTATGGAGGGAGAGAGGTATGATATGCCGACTAACTACCTGCTTGAGGGGTTGATGCCTAAGGCCACTTTACAACATATATGAAATATGAAATATATTGAATTGAAATAGGTATTGTATATAGAATGAAAAGATGACTTTATCATTGTAAGGTTTAAGATCAATTATAGGTCGATATATTGATTAGTATTGAATCTCTCATGAGTAGTCTAGTACTCTCCTTTCCTCCATTACCTTTATATACAACTACCACAATACATTACTTTATATGTATTTTGATCTCCTCTACTTTATAGAGCTAGAATGATTAATGGATATATGCACAAGAATAAAAGAGAAGTTGAAATTAGTATACAGATTAAACTTAACATCCATATGTGCTTCGAGGGGGCGGTGAGATCAGCGGTCAGTCAATAACCAATGAGAGAGTTATGTGTCGGATGGCATATTTAGTCGCCCGTACACATGTGTTCTGGCGAAATACAAATACGCGTAACAGGGGAGAAATTGTAAAATACAGCTTGGCGTATTTCAGGAGATTTAATACATCGTGTAGTTAGGTCAACTGGTCTTTTATAACTAGTTATATAACTATATTGATATTCATTCGGAGAATATGAGACGGGATATCAGAGTATTATAACCTGATATTAACCGTATAGTTTTCCTTTTGCAAGGAATATGTGTATTTGGGCTCATACAGTAACCTGCTTTTGATGCTAACTATTCTGCATATTATAGGACATGGATCACTTGAAGATCATTTACTAGGTCATCAATAATATGGGTCCTTCATTATTTGTTCATCTTAACTACTCCGTAGTTATGCCGATGTTTGACAAGCGCCTATCCTCATTAGCCATATCATGAGATATACAGCCCAAAGTCAACTCCAGAGTAGACAGCTGAGGTTCTCATAGGGCTATGCTGTCTCGTGTACTCCCCAAAAGCAAGTCCCAGAGGTCACAAAGAAGATTGTTGACAGTCTCAAGTCTTGGCAAGGAGGCTGTGCAAGACAAAAGACCATGTTAATGCAGGCTGGCTGACCCCCTCGGCCCAAATGGTTCAAAAGAGGTGTAGCACCTACGGAGTACAAAACTTAACAATTGATCATTGAACCCACGAAAATCGATTAAAAAATGGCTAAAAATGGCCAATACTGGCTAGATACAGACTAACGGCACTGGGGACAATCGGAAACGCCCCTCCACATTCCAAGCCCAAAAGAGAGTCTAATTCAACGTACGCCGTGCATTCTGATCCGCCGCCTCTACCCATGCTACTCTTCTCAAATCCTCCAGCGCCGCAACTGTATCTGGGTGGTCCGTTCCAAATGCCTTTTCCCTGCGAGAATGTAACGTTTCGGCCATTCCACCGGCGACCTCCCACTTGCTTTGCGACTGGTATATAAGGCTCAGATTGGCCATTGCGCTAAGTGTGTGCGGATGGTCTTTGCCTATGGTCTCTTCCATCAGACGAACAGACCGGGCTGCTAGGATCTCGGCATCTAATGATTTCCTCATCATTTGATACGTCACTGCAAGATCCGCCATGGCAACCAGTGTGTGTGGATGACGTTCCCCGAGGACCTCTTTCATCACAGCTGTTGCTTTCCCCCGAGATCTTTGGCTTCTTCGAGCCGACCCTGATTGCGATATGTTGAGGCAAGGTTACTGATGGACATGAGGGTTCGGGGGTGGGTTTCGCCGAGCACGGCTTCGCTGCTAGTCACGACTTCTTTTTCAAGGCGCTCAGCATCCGTCCATCGGCCTTGATCGCGGAATGTGGATGCAAGGTTGGCCATAGCGGTCAAGGTGAAGGGATTATCTGTCCCAAGTTCCTCCCGACTAACATCGACAACATCCCGTTCTAACTTTTCAGCGTCGGCTAGCCTCCCTGGTCTCGATATGTCGATGCCAGAGTAAGTTTCCAGTTTAACAGCGAGGCATCGGCTGGAGATAATTCAATTTCCCCAAGATCGACCAGTTGGCGCGCCATTGACTCAGCCTCTTCATACCGACCGAGATTGGCATACGATATAGCCAAATTAGACATCGAGCCCAAGGTGGATGGATGGCTCGGACCAAGTGTTTTCTTCTTCATCTCGAGAATCCTCGAATCAAGCCCCTGAGCATCATCCCAAAGCCCTTGGCTCCGATACGTGGAAGCTAGATTCGTCATCGAAGTCAACGTCTGGGGATGCGTCTCGCCGAGAATCTCTTGTCTCAGTCTGGTCACCCGGGCACCGAGAGCAGCAGCCTGATCCAGCTGCCCTCGGCCCCAATACGCTGAAGCGAGATTGTGCATCGCTGTCATAGTCATTAAGTCTCGCTCTCCCTTCAGGTTCTCGCAGGAGTCCAGCACCAAAATGGCTAGATCTTCGGCAACAACCCATGATTTGGCCTGCAGCCATATCTTCACACATGCGGATAGCTCTTCGAGCGTTGTTGTTATTGCGTCGGAATTCGTATCTGCCGCGAGTACCTGATTCCCCGCTGTCGTCATTGCTGACTCCAGGTCTGTTGCTTCGGTCGTCCAGCGTCGGCCATGGTATATGGCTGTGAGTTCACTGACCTCCCTCTGGAGCGACTCGAGGGAGGGAGGATATTTGTCCATAGATCACAGGCAGGGCAGCAGGGATTATGCAACTCCGGGGCAGGTTGATGTTTGTTTGTGTGGATCACTTACGCGTATCGGGTGGTGTCAATAGATGGGGTTGATGATGAAGTCAGGAGGGCGCGACCGGCATGCGACTCAAAGGAGAATAATAATCGTAAGCTGTGAACGCATTGCCAAGGTGTGGGGGGTACGAATGCCCCGATTAATGACAATACAGACGAGAGAGGGGTCAACGGAGACGGTGTTCTCCGGGTAATAACTGTAAATTGGAAATTGTAAAGTAACATGGACGATCGTCATTCCACATGTTATTTTCGAAATATTAATAGCATCAACCCTGCATCAAAATATCCCATAAGGCTGAGACCAATATAAGATAATGCTGTTGCCTGAACTGAAAGCTGTATACCGTATGCATACATGACGTTGCAAAGTATCAAACGGTTAGCGGGTTCAGCCCTACCGCATGAACCCCAATTCTACAGTGGAGATGCGGCACGTCTGTTTGGCGCTAGTAATAGGGCTGTAACTTTAATTAAGGGTGAAAGTTACCTAGGTACGAGTACCCGTATCAGTACCGTGGTAACGTTAGAAACACAACTTCCAGTCCCAAACTTTTGTTTCCCCGGTCCTCGGGTCACCTCTCACTTTAAGTGTCACTTCAGAGGTTACCCAGATTTCTCCAGATTTATCATGTCCCGCCGAGGCATACAACCAGTGCCGTGTGGACCAGAGCCAAGTAGCCATCAGGGTCATCAAATCCAAGATGCAGATATAGATCCTTGGACTCAAATCCAGAACTTCTTCAAGATGCCATCGCAAACTGGACTGAAGGAACTGAAGATCAATCATGGATGGCCAGTGATGATTCTGTTACCTCTGGCTGGCCTCGCAAAGATATTTCATTGGAACCCGATCATAGTTCTCGTCGTGAACATCGTCGCCATCATCTTCTTGTCTGAGGCGATATCTATCTCATCCGATGAACTCGCTGAACATCTCGGAGAATTGCAAGGCGCATTACTCAGCGCCACATTTGGAAATACCGTAGAGCTCACGGTGAGCCAGAATTACTGCTCTGAATTACAAAATGATCCTATGCTCACCCAATCCAGGCGGGCATTCTGGCTCTGGTTCATGGCGAGATCTCATTTGCACAGTCTGTCATGGTTGGCAGTATTCTATCAGATATACTGCTTGTAAGTTTTGGCAATATGAAAAAACTCATTGGTGGCCATATTATCCGACTGACAGCCAAATATAGATCTTCGGCTGCTGCCTCATAACAGCTTCGTACAACAAGGAAGTTTTAGAGTTCAACAGCGCTCTTGCAAAGACTTTATCCTCCTTGATGATGATCACCTCTGTGACGATGCTTCTGCCAACGGCTCTCTACTCGACTTTCCCAGTATCTGAGATTGATGACAGGGTGCTATCCTTCTCCCGAGGAACGTCATTGGTGCTGCTCGCGCTCTACGGGGGCTACCTATACTTCTACCTCGGGACTCACAAACACCTCTTCCTTTCCAATGAGAGCGAAACCAGCGACGATGAAAATGAAGGAGATTCACCATCCGCAGCCAACTGGACCAGCCTGGCTTCATCAATTATCCGATTGATAACTGCCGTGGCCGCAACAGTCTTTTGCACAGAACTTCTACTCGAAAGCATCGGAGACATGACGCAAACGCTCGGAGTCTCTGATGTATTTATCGCGATCGTTTTTATTCCAATCGCTAGCAATAGCACCGAGGGGGTTACTGTCATTACGGCATCTCGTACAGGAGACACAGACTCTGCAATCCGGGTTATTATCGACAGCCTCTTGCAGATTGGTCTGTTTGTCATACCGTTCTTGGTGATAATTGGCTGGTGTATTGCTGAACCGATGACGCTTTTCTTTGACTCCTTCCAGACTGTTGCTATGTTTTTGGCTATCCTGGTTGTTAATCATTTACTTCGCGATGGACAGTACGCCTACATCCATGGCGCGATGCTCCTTGCTCTGTAAGTTTCCCTGAATCCCTTACTGGCTCTCAATGATAATTTTACTGATGCATAATTATAGGTACGCTAGTCTAGTTGTGGCGTTCTATGCGCACTAGGTAGCCCAAGGGCTTTGGCACCTCAACACCTCTTTAGGAGACACCTTAAGTAATGAATGATGTGATATACCAGGACAGCATAAATCTAAGTACCTAGGAAAATCACATTCACCGACGCTTCAGGCCTAACAAAGAACGCAAAAGTAATGATCATGTATCTGTTAAGAGAAATCAAAGTTAATACCAACGAACAAAAAGCCCAACAAGGCAGTGCGAGCGACTCACGTTCCAATTAACATTAGCCCCTCGAAGTAATTGCTCCGCCCATCAGATATGAGATAAGTCATAACCACAACACTAAGCAAGAGTGTCGTAGCCTCAAACCCATCAAACCTAAGCATGAGCGGCTGATCAAAAGCCCAACCAATAAGAACCAGCAGCGGAGCAAGAAGCATCGTAACCCGCAACACATTATTAATCACCGACCTGATTCCAAGCTCAACCTGATTGAGGGATCTAGACCCCATAACAATGGAGCGGTACTTGGTCGAGTTCCCAAGCAGAGGAACAAGCGTCACGGCAAGGAAAGACTGGTTCATACCCGTGATCGACGCAACCCCGCTCAAACTGCCGACTATATAATGAGTGCACACAAGCGCAAAAGCAGAAGCAGCGACTAAAATTATACCTGCGGGGCCCTTGCCGATATACGGCTGTGGGATCTGGGCCTCGGCGATTTGGCTCTGGCTAGATTGATAGTCGCTGCGGGCGTAATCTCGCTGGCTGAATGGGGTGCTGGCGAACATGGTTGCATGGGTGCCGAGGCGGAAGACGAGGAATGTGAGGAGCAGAATGACGAGTATAATGGCTGTTGCACGTTGCGTTAAGAGGATGTGGTCTTCCGGGGTGGCTTTGGCGGATGGGAAAACGTCCATTATGGTTGGGAGAGCGAGGAGGATGAAGACGACCATCATAAGGGACGAGAGGACTGTTGTGAGGGTGCGATCGAACCGGAGTCGCTTTTGGTCATAGCCTGAGACGAAGATAGTGCTGCCTAGGACCTGAACGTATAGTTCGTATCAGAATAAGGTTCATAGCAAGAGTGGTTGGATTTGATATTGGGATTTACCAGTAATAAATTGCTTATAACACTTCCAAGTATCACGGACTGGGAGATGTGTGGTTGGTTTTGCGCGATCGCATTGATTCCGATCTAGATAAATCATCGTCAGTCTATATTTCTGCATTGAAGCTGGAGTCCCTGGATATCACCATTAATTCCACCGAGTTTCCCAGTGTTGATTTCAGCACTTCAATAATGGCTCGACTGCCACCTACAGTCAGCGCATCAACTGATCGGCTAATCCATGTTCCAAGTGGAATTAGAGCGACAATGTTAAGAGCAAAGATGACAGCACTGTTCCACTTCAGGGCTCCTCCTATGATACCGATGAGAGGTATCAAAAGTGACAAGACGCCCAGGTGGTGCTGAATATGTGCCATAACGGAATTGCAATATAGCATAGGTGAGATTCGATTGCGAGACATAATTCCATAAGAGAAAAGGTGAAGCTGAGAGAATTCACCTGTCTGTGGAAAGTCCACATATGTGCAGGTCAATAAATGAGGCTCGGTGTTATTATGGTAATATTTCCATCTGATACTGTCACATTTGTAATTAATTGTAACAAACTGTAATTAACCGTCCGATACACGTAATTTTTAGCTGCACGGCACTTCAAGTAGAAGAATCCTAGCCGTGGACGCAATCCACCAGTTACACCAATGCGTACGCAGATGCCTAGTGCTAAAAGGGTAGTGGAGTAATACATCATCCCTTTGACCCTCGACTCCAATGTTTTTTTGGTCTCTTTCCTCACCCTTGACAACACATAACATGAATAACACAACTCACCCCCGATTGCGAAAGTCAACCAAGATGGACCCTGAAATCATGGCCGGGTCCCCCGAACCAAACACAGCCCATGAACAAGATTCATTACTCAGGGAGGAGGATAGACGCGAAAGGGACGGAGAGGAACCTGCGGACTTGCGTGACACAAACTACCCCCACTCGAAAGGCGCTATGTTCCTAGGCAACTCTGTTTTACGTGTTATTAGGACTACACTGGGATGCAGCTACTCCAATTTGCTACTACCGTTTGTATTTCTGGGTATAATTGCGGGGAGTCAAGGATGGGATGACTCGCTTTCCTTCATGTTCAACTTCCTGGCGATTCTTCCTCTCGCTGCGTTGCTGTCATTCGCCACAGAGGAACTGGCAAAAAGTGTCGGGCAAACCGTTGGAGGGCTGATAAATGCGACGTTTGGAAATGCGGTTGAAATGATTGTGAGTGGACGTTCGACCCTCTTGTTAAGGTTGGAAACTGACACTGGTTACTGCGCAGGTGGGGATCACTGCCGTCCGACAAGGAGAAATCAGTATTGTGCAGTCTAGTATGGTGGGCAGTATTCTGTCGGGAAATCTCCTGGTAAGTTTCGGGAATTTATTGCATGTTCACTGCAGATAGCTTGTCTACTTACACGAAATATAGATCCTCGGTGTTTCATTGTTCTGCGGCGGCTATGGAAAAGATGTGGTGAAATTCAACGTGGATGTCAGTGGGATATTATCATCGTTGATGGTGGTTTCATCTGCAACATTGATCATCCCATCCGTCCTCTACTCAACCATACCGTCCAAATCCCACGAAGTGGAAGCCAGCGTCCTGAGTCTCTCCCGTGCCGCCTCCGTGGTCCTACTCACTTTCTACCTGGTCTACCTCTACTTCCAACTGAAGAGTCACTCCGAGCTATTCATCGACGATAAACAAGAAGAGGAAGAAGAAGAGCGACTTCTGGGCCCCTGGTCGGCAAGCATCGTTTTGATCCTCGCAACCCTTGGGGTCACCGTCTGCTCTGATCGTCTGGTGGATAGCGTCGATGGCTTTGTAGATAAGTGGCATGTGAGTCGGGCTTTTATTGGCTTGATTGTGGTTCCAATTGTCGGTAACGCGGGAGAGTTCAATACTGTCGTCAATTCTTCAATCAAGGGAAATATGGACCTCGCAATTGGCGTGGTGGTGGGAAGCACTTTGCAGATCGCATTGTTTGTGAGTCCGTTTCTGGTCATGTGTGGCTTAGTTATTGGCCAGCCCATGTCCTTGCGCTACAGTCCCTTCGAAACTGTGGTATTCTTTATATCGGTCATAGTCATGGACTGCTTGATTCGTGGAGGTCGGTCCAATTACTACGAAGGGTCTTTATTGGTTGGAACGTGAGTGACCACACGAGTATTCTGGTTGTCTTCGGTACTAATGATTTCCCCTAGGTATCTGATAATCGCAATTGCATTCTACGTGCACCCAGACGCAGTCGATGCACCTTTCGTTTAGGATGCTGCAGAGGGCGGGGGTACCAGTAATTATTTCTAGTTAGATTCATTACATTCGAACAACATAAAACATCTAAGCTTCTAGCGAGTACTCAAAACTTAGAAGCCAAATATCTTAAAAAGCAAAAGGCAAGGATCGCCATAGTGGAGTCGCCTCGTAGGGCTGAGACTTGGCGCCATAACCAGACAAATGCACCAATTTTAATGAAACCTATTCTTTTGATTAAATTCAATCAACTCGGCTTTTATTCAGATGTTCTCAAAGAGACTGAAGGGGATTTTCCAGGTCGACTTGCCTCAAACTCCAAAGGATCCTCTTTAAACAGAAGACCCTAACTCAAGCATCACGTATGTTGTAGATATAGGCAACAAGACAATATTCGTCACATCCGTTAGTTTATTGCCGGCTAACCGGCCAGGGGAAGATGATCAGGCAGCAGAATTTCGCAGACTTGCTATTTTTCTTTGTCAGAATCATAGTATCTTGTTTTCAGACTACTCCGTGACGACTATGGGGATTTGTTTCCTATATAGATGTAGAGTCGAATCATTATTGCGTACACAGTATGGCTTTCCAAACTCACACAACACAAACCCCAGCTCAAACAGATCCATTTATAGCGCTGCATAATAAGGAAGGCCTTATGAATGAATGCTGAAACGTCCGTCATGTACGATCAATCACAGTTGCAGTGCCTGATCTAGACTAATAAAGTATGTCTTTATTAGGAAAGGTAGTCGCCGGCCTTGTGTTTCCTTGTCAAATTTAGTACACCCAAAGGCTGGCCACCAACCAGATATCACCATTTAGCGCTGCGCCATGCCCTATGTTCATGTAGAATGCACCCATACCACGTTAATACGACATGGCCTAGTCACACAGAGTCAGGACATTGAGCAGACCGGGGTATAAAAGTCCCCCAAATTCACCTATCCAAGGCGTATTATTTTTCTCCTCAGGTACCTTTCTATATTATATTCTCATTATAATCACCCTTTGTGTGATACCAGACCAGTCTCTGCCGCCTATCCTTATACCCCAGCCTTTCTCATCATGGGCCTTGTAAAGCTTCTGCTCAAAGTGATCCTCATTCCAATCGTTGTCCTTATTGTCATTGCTGTTGCTATCGTCCTTCTCATCAAAATGCGTCGTGATCGCAAAAAGAAAGAAAGGGAACTGGAGAAATCTTTCCAACCGCCCCCTATACAGCAATGGGTACCGTACACCCCGGTCCAGCAACCAGCTCCAGCATATGCCAAAACACCAAGGGCGATGGAGCAAGGGATTGGACAGGGGCAGCCTTAGTGATATCTTTTTATTAGGTAATTATGTCTTGCAGTGGGATTAGTGATTATCTTTTGCTAACATGGGGGTTGGTTGTAGATTGTTTCGGGCAAGATTTACACTATGGGTTGGAATGTCTATTTCTATAACTTTTCAGGGGCATTCATGTGGATTATTTTCTTTGAAGATTTGTCCGTTGATGCAAATCAATGACTAGTTCATGTAGTCATTGTACATGGTATTAGTGACTCGAGTTTCATGCTGAAACCTGTACTACTCAGAGGGATCATCAATTTTAATCCATGACATCTGTCCTGTTGGATCAATTCAGTACATATATGATTACACATATGTATCTACTGTGTGATTGCACCATCGGTTGGCGTGGGCAATATAATAGCAAGCTAGCATATTGAGGGCGATATAAATTAACACAATATCTCAAAGTTGCAAATAATATATCAAAGCATAGGCGAAGAATGATTGCATGTGATCAATTGACGAAATCGTTGAATTGAACTACATTGACATGGAAGTAGATATTCAACCGGTCCTAGCTAAAGACATTGAAATCATGGAAGAACAGAATTGATCGAGATCCAGTCCCCCAACATAACTAAAGGCATCCGGAGGTACGTAAGGCTTGCATTTCACCACAAGTGTCTGTTCCTAAGAAACTTCAGGGACCCAAGACCCAAGTAGCACACCCTCCTCAGATCATGACGAGAGACAAGCAATTCCGTAGTCTGAAAATCTTAAAAGGAGACTTGCTCAACGGTATCGCGACGCAGGATCTCAGCATCTTCAGGCAACAAAAATCCAGCTTCAAGCTGTCGGTTGATGGCTTCTCCCGCCTGACGTCGATAGTCGGCTACCGTTTTGTAGATCGCCCACAATTTGACATCTTTGAAAGGGACCTCGGTACCTATTGATAGTAACCAGGTTAGAAAAAATGACATTCTCACAGAAATGAGCAACTTACCAGTGTGCCAATGCGGATGCGGCTGAGGGGTAACATCAACGATTCTGGCAGTAGGCACGTCTGTATGAACAGTTCTGACTCCAGCAAGTGCATTTCCGTACTCATCTCGCTCGATGTACCCGAATTTGTCAACATCAATTGTGGTACCTCGCGGGGGAGCAACACCGGTCGTAATCCATTTGTTCATAGCATCGAAGAGAGCATGGTAAAGGAAGGAGCTGGCAAAAGTGCTCCACTGGGCACCTTCCAGATCAACGACTGACAAACGCTTCTTATCAGCCATAGAGAGGTATCGAGTCTCGCGATGAGACATGCCGGCGACTTCGTAGAGCCGGAATGAACTGCTATCGGCACGGCGATGAGGAGGACTTTCACTTCCGCCGTAGAGTGTCTTGAGGTAAATGAGCTCGAATTCACCTAGAACCTCAATGATCTTTGCATCGTGCACGTCTGGAAGTGGGTTACCGCCATCGCATTGGCAAGGTATGAATCCCTCAAATGGGGCGCATCCGTTAGGAAGTCGGAGATGAAGAGACTCGACGATGAACTTTCTTATCAAGTCTGCAGTCTGGGAAAGACCAGCCAGTACGACACGCTCGGCCTTAATACCCAGCTGTCCTGATCTCAAGACATGTGACGCAGCAACAAGAATCTCCGGAGACTGCAAGGTTGCGGCCCACCATCTTTCCTTGAAGATCCTGTAATTGTTCCAAAGCTCATCTGCGTTAGAGAACGAGGGTATGTTGCTGGAAAACTCCTCTAGGGTCCGGCATGCGATAAAGTGCATGTCCTTGTAGCGTTCGGGATCAACTTTTTTGATCTGGTCAATTGCAGCGGGAGCCTGGGAATCAACTTCCAGCCAGGCATGTCCTTCTGGAAATTAGCACAAACAACATGTCAACATGTCAAACTAGAATGTATGACAACTCACCATTGCGCATCAGCCACCGATTAATGAGACGCCAGATAGTTGTTCCACCCCATAGGTGAGATGGTTCCATGATGACAAGACCGGAAAATTTGCTAGAATTGGCAGGGCAACGAAGAATAAGGCGCGTGCAGTACGAGTTGGCAACGGCAACGCCGGTCACCATATATTCCTGGGAGATGTAGTCATACACAGGAAGCAAGTCACCGTGATGGAGGTCATATGTCACTGTCTTGGAAGTTTCAGTCTCCGGTAGGAAAGAGACGGTTGGCATTGTGACTCGCACGTGCATTGCGAGTTCTTCTTCGGTTGCCATCTTGGCTGGCGTGCTCTATTCGCCCTAATCATGCTAAGGTCAGTCCTCCGAGTCCAAGATGAAGCCTAGGGACACTAGGCACGTAGATGAGACCCACGAACTAGGGCCAACGGTGACACGTGATGAACTGTGGTTGAGAAGTCGCGTTGGCTTTGCCTGATTAGGCTGGTGTTGTTGTTGTTGAGATGCGAAGGGAATACTAAAATAAGGAGAGAGAAGTGGAAAAGAAAAACAAAACAAATACTGAATGTGTCGAAGAGAAAAGGTGGGAAGGTGATGAGTTGGAAGTAGCTGGGGCAAACAAAAAGTTAGACTGCCCTTCTCAAAGCAGAGACATTCAAAAGACCAAGAAAGATAAAGACATATATTCATAAGTTTCATCTAAACCCGAAAAATTAAACAGTTTAAGATACTACGAGAAGAATATCTGTAGGAATCACACCAGCAACTCAAACACATCCAATCCCCAGAACCATTGTGCAATACCCATAGCTCCGACACTCATAGTAGCAGCCATGAGAAGATTGACGCCATTGTTATCTAGCCAGTCATGACCAGTTTCAAGACGACGACTTTCCTGACTTTCCTCGGGGATACGCGTCGCCTGGGTGCCATGCAATGCAGCATTATGTATGCTACCGGTGGTTTGGGCAGTGCTATCAGCAGGAACAACCGGCCTGCCTGTGGAAGGGTGAATGAGAACCTAGAAAACAAGATTAGAGCTTTGTGCACAGTGACCAAGGACAATTAATCGTGAACTCACCTTCCTACCACCGCTACCCTCTACAACCTTCCCGCTCCTCTTATCGACAACACTGGCCTGCAAAAGCCCACCAAGGACACTGTCAAGAACACTTCCCAATGCACCCCAAAGAGTCATAGCTATGGTCCACAGAGCCCGATCCTTCAATCCAGCACTAGAACAGAACGGAAGAACCGCAGCAGATGTCGCAGAAACAATGAACGACCCCAGAACACCTGCCCCAAGACCAGTTGCGGAAACACCACCATTTGTACCGGGGGGGACTTGACGGAGATTCAACGAGGTTATCAGGCGGGGTTTGGATTTCGAGAGAATGCCGAGCTCGGAGGAAAAGGTGTCTGCAGCGACAGCGGCGTAGTTTCTGCGAAAAGGAACTTATTAGCCATATGTCCTAGAACAGATAGTGCAGACATAAAATGTGATGATGGGTGACGTACGCTACAATGCCAACAACCAAGATATCAGCCGCATTCTGACCGAGTGAGAAACATGATTCGGTGCCGGTTGTTTTGGCCAGGATAATGGTATGAGCGATCGATAATATGGTAGCGACAACGGAGTTCGCTAGGACTTGAATATGGTTCCGGGGGCCTTCGCCGCCTTCTGCACCGGTTGCGGAGAGTGTCAAACGCGACTTGATCTCATGTTTTACCTGTCATTGCGATCTTGTAAGCTGCGCCCATAATATAGGTCAAAGAGTGGATAGTATGGAGCTCCTCTCGACATATAGATAACTTCATACCTTTGTGACCTTAGTCCCGCTAAAATAGAATACTGCAAGGAGCGCCACTGGTGCCGACCATGGATGGAGAGCGTGCGCGGAGGCTGAACATCCCGCAAATACCAGACCGAGCGGGGTAAGGGATTTGCGCGACCAAGCTCGATAGACAAGGCCAAAGACGAGAGGTACGCCTATATATGGTTTCATTTTGTTGGTCTTGTGATCTCGAGTACTGTCATTTGTTGGGGGAGATGGTGGTTGAGGTTGAAGAGGTGTAGCTGAAGAACATCGGAGCTTGGGTGGAGTCCGAAATAAGCATCATCACATGATGTGAATTCCACTTTTATACAACTTACCTACAACATAGGTAGAGGCAGAAATAGAAATAGAAAATACCACACAGGTATAAGATAGTAATTACAAAGTTAGTGTGGCTCAATATTATAAGGATTAGTGCATTGATCTATTGGGGTTTCATCGAACCATAGCGAGCAGCTCGAAGGTCTTCGTAACGTCTTAGTAAAGCAATAATGGGCTTGTAGGGAATGTAGAAAAGAGAAAGAATTCGTTGTACCCAAAGAATACTCCTAAAACCATCTAAAAGCAATATGTAGGTAGGTATAGTATGTCCGAGTCAATATATAGACACTAGGGCTGTGCGCCTTTTTGCTCCTCGGGGTATGTCCAAAATCCAGGAAAAAAATAGTATACAGAGCGCAAAATCGGATCAAAATCGGATCAAAATCAAAGAAAAAGGAAAGGGCAATAAATCTTAAAAAAATCTTAAAGCGAGACAACAAGTGGCGGCCGTGGGAAGCTCAGCATATACTTAGTAGTCTTACTAAAGCGCGAGGCCGCTGCCATCGCCGCTCCAGCGGTAAAGAGCCAGCACCTCACGCCTGCGTGACTGCTGCTCGCCGAAGTCTTCTGGGACACGGCCGCGGACTTGAGCCAGTGCCGAGCGCATCACCTTTCGGAACGTTCGCTGCATGGATATTAGTCTCGGTAAATATAAGCCTCAGTCACGGGTAAATCTTACCTGATATTCAGTGTTCAAAGTCACGACGCAGGCCTCATGCGCTCGCACGATTGTTTCACAGGCTCGAACAACACTGGGGCTGGCATCTCCTTGCAATTTATCCGCAGTTAGGAGTAGCAAGAAGCTACCTTGCAAAAGATATATGCCAAAGAAGAAGGGCATGAAGCTTAGATCGGGGTCGTATTCTAAAATGTCTGAGGCTGCCTCAGCAGAGCTGACTGCATGGCCCATGGCAGTGATAAACGACTCGGAAGAAATCCAGAGATCGTTAT